TAAAGATTTTTCTGACCGGCTCAAGCCGACCCCACTAATAAGTGTAGAGACTCCCTAATATAATCGTTTTTACTTACGTTGAACATTTATTGTAATGCGAAACGAAACAACGACTACTTTAATAGAAGTCTCAACTCGAAACAGCAGACATCCGCAACCAATTATTATTGACAAAGCTTGATCTCAATATGTGCTAATAGCATAGCTATGGTCCTTTAATATGGCGTGCGGAGGCGGGGAATTTCTGCTAATGTTAGGCTGACCCAAATGACTATATCGCTATGCTAATCCTGTCATTAGCATTAATCATAGGCATAGGCAAAACAGTAGGTGTTGCGTTTCTAATACTCGTCTATATTAAAAGAATTTCTTTATTGGTGTCCGGACTTTGAATAAACAATGACCTTCGTTCGTACTTAGTGTGTCTGTAATGATGAATGTAATCATATAGTAATTGATTCAATCAAGAAGTATTATGGACTACTACTATACTAGCTCGACTGCCGTCTTCGGCAAACTACTTTGACTTACCGAAAGTGGTGCAGTCGACTTGTTGTTTACATCGAGTCGACTGCCGCTTTTTCTGCAAGCGAATTCGGCGGACATATGCGGCGCAGTCGACACGCTGTTTACAAAGAGTCGACTGCCGTCTCTTCGCAAGCGAATTCGGCTTACTAAGTCTGCTAACAGATTGCCTGCATGTTTGCAGTTAATGGGTGAAGTCGTAATTGATAGCGACTGCTAGTGATAACGACTTCACGCGTTAACTGCATGAAGTCGATGGCGACTCTATGAAGTCGGTTTCGACAATCTGTTAGCAGCCTTCGACAGCGCAGTCGACACGCTGTTTACAGAGAGTCGACTGTCGCCTCTTCGGCAAGCGCATTTGGCTAACGCGGGCGGTGCACTTTACGCACTATTTACACCAAGTCGACTGCCACAGTCGCCGAAATCACCAAATCAAAAATCTTTAGACGCAGAGACATCAACAAATCGTTCGAAACCTTTGTACGTCGCCTAGACAGTGATTACACCTAGTCAACTTAATCGACTTCGGCAGCGAACCGCGGTCGTCAAACGACTCGGTGTTTACACTGGAAAGGATGTTGTCTTCGGCTAGCGAGGGCGATCTGTCGACTTACTGTAAACGCGTCGTTTAATTTAATTCCGTTAAGCTCCATTTAATAAGTCTTTTTTTTCAGATCTATTATCCTATACTAATATTATTAACATTAGTTTATATTTATTTATTTGTGAAAACACAGGTTGTGTAGGAGTTGACACGTAAAAAAGATGTATAGCTTTACTGTGTGTGGCCAACCATTAGGCATACAAATATTGATTGATTCACGTACACTACAACAAACTAAACTAGGTGTAATATGGATGACGCATGAATTTAATAAGTCAGTCAGTGTTTTAACCGCGGTGATAGTTATTTGGGTGACGCGAGATTTTATTTTTGCTTCTGACTAAAAGAAAAATCCGATGATTTCAAGTTTATGCTAAGGGTAGTCGAAGATTGCTTTCTTAATATTTTAAAGGCGCAATGTAGAGGTACGTAATTGCCTACTTACGGCACGCAACGTAAATGCAGTAATTATAAACCGCGGAAGTACAAGAATTAGAACATGTTGTTTGTAATTAATGAGAGAATTCCATTTAAAGTGGATGCCTAGCCTTAGTAGGTCCTTGAGTGGTTAAAATAAAGACAGCCAACATAATTGCGAAAGTTGATCGTGCTGACAGCAGAGACAGCGTAACCGAATAATCGACAGCTTTCAACTTTAACTTATTACATTATACACACCCGTTTAGGTTATGAGACAACGAAGAACCATCATAATTTTATTAATACAAATCCCGAAGTTAAAATACGTTATAACGGTTTCAATCGAAATTCACAAATTATATGTAAAACCCATTGACTTACAAATAAACCTTATAATTTTGAATTGCTGTAGATCAATTAGCTTCTACATGTACCTTATTTCCTTAAATAAATTATTATTATTTATAACTAGTTATTATTTTACTAAAGGCAGATGGACTTGGTGTACAGTCAAGAGCACATCAATCTTGACACTTCGTACTTTGGACCGTTCTTATCGTAAGCGGCATAGAGTTCGATTTAAGTCTTAAATGTCAAGCTTAACGTGCTTTAACCATAGGGTCAGTGTACAGACACTCCGCATTATTAGCTTGGTGCAGCAAGCGAACAGCCAATTACAGTTGAAGACTGAAAATCAGCAATGCTTTACAGGCTTTAACATTTTTGTCCGCATCACTCAATTGTATTTTCCATTAATTTTTAAGTATTGTGATTCCTATGTTTTGTGGAAATAATTGTCTTTTTATTATTCGCACTGTTAATAGTGTACTAACTCAAAAAGTGTATTTTCTCAGAATCGACGACAAAACGTTACTTCACGGGAAGCGAGTAATTGCTTCCCGTGAAATATCTGTGTAAATTTGTGTGTAGGTTATTTCCTACTTACCAAATATACATATTTAAAAAGAAAAGAGAAAAAATAATTTCATGTTTTTGAACAAGGACTATTTTGGTCAGAACTAGCTTACATAAATCTTGTCTCATTTTGAGTTAAGTAGATATCTTTTAGTTGTTTACAATAACAACATTCTAACAACAATATTCAATATTACAATATTCTAACTCCGGTTTTATTGACGTGTAGAGAATCAATGTTACGTTCAACAATGATATAATCTCGATTTTCACATGTTTCGAGTTATAACACTATTGTAATAGCAGTGCGATATTGTAAACAGTGTTTTGAAAAAATGACAATCAAAAAAAAATCAAAAATCATTTATTCTCAGACAACTACAGTCCACATTTTACAGTTATAATATTAGCTTAGATATTTCAATAGGTTTACACACATTAAAAAAACAAAAGGCAGCTTAAAAACATAGAATAAATAAACAAATTAAATTAAATATCAAATAAATCATCGACATGGTTTTAAATGCAGTTTCATGCAATGTAGCATGATCGGGCAATCCACTCTACCAGCCACAACGCGCAGAATCTCATTCGTGCCGCAACGGATACGACTTATTAATGAGGCAGCTCTCTTTCTAAGGATAGCATGGAAACCATCCGTGTCCGCGAACATGCCTGATGCGCTGCAGTACCGTGGCAAACCCAATAAAACCCTGAACGCGTTGTTGTATTGAACGCGCAGGGCGTTGATTGTCTTCTGCGTAAAATGAAGCAATGAGGCAATGAGGCATTTTTTATCGAAATTGGAACTCATGTAATTTTGAAACCTTTGGAAGTCATCGGGAAACGGATAAACCACAGACATAAATATAAACTTGTAGATCGTCGACGATGTGTCTACAAAATCTCATTAACTTTGATTAGTTATTAATTGAAATAGAATTACGACCATCGTCGTCCACGTCTTCAAGAGCTGAAAATAAGTGGGTTCTCGGTTGATACCGATAACGTTAACGTTTCAGGTACTGGGAGCTGGTAAGCGTGCACGGCAAGCTGGACCCGCTGGTGTCCATCGACCTGCGGCCCGAGAAGCGTGTCCAGATCACCTTCACCTGTGGCGACACCAGCGAAGTGCGCACCGTCGATGTCTACAGGTCTGCCTTTTCCGTTACGTCTATTTATTATGAAGACTGCGGCTGTAAATTATTTGTTCCCCTCATGGAAGAATGGCATAAGTGGAGTTACGTCAAAAATGTTTATATTTTTCTGTATCTAATGGAGCAATAAACATTTTTAGCAATAAACCCACATCCTCTCCAATTCGTTTAACTCTGTCGACTAATATTGTCGATAATTTAAAAAGTCAGATACACAAAATGTTAGTAATAAAGTAAGGGAAAACAAAAAGTACATAAACAAAATATATATACAAAGTAATCTGCAAAGAATTCATCGTCTGTTCGAGATTCGAGAGTATAATTTCGCGTTTTAATCTTCGATTAAGGCACAAAAGCACTATCCTATTCCACTTTAAACTAGATTTCACAAAATAATTAAAAGTCAAAATAAAAACGTCACTTTTCCCTCCAACAAAGGGTCCAGAGCGAATTGAAATTTCTTTCTTTGTTACCATAAAATATGGTTTACGAAAACGATGAGTCCTAATTTTTTTAATATTATTTATTTAATGACCTTGGATTCATGTCTTTGAATCTTACAATACCAAAATTGCCATGCGAATCTGTTTTTCTACATTTTTTAAAGTACATCATTCCAATAGTATTAAGTTTTTAATTGTGTATTGTTTGTATACACAGTATTTAGGAGTGTCGTTATAATGTTGTTTTTTTTTTAATATAATTTGTTCTGTGTCTTTTTTGAAGACGGAGTAAAATGACTTATGTATTTTCGCCAGTTTTCATACAATTTTTATGTAGTTGCTGTCGATAGTTTTATCGAAAGATTGTAAAAGACGATAAAATTTTGCCAAAAATGACTGAATTGTAAATGTTCTAATGGTTACTAATTGCGTTATTGCCTTCTTTATTCTTATTTTAACAGTTGGCCTACTAGTATATAGATTTTTATTCAGATACATTTTTACCTATATTGAATTAATATTAAAAACTTTAAAATGTCTCGTCTTTGTATTTTTCATAAAAATAATTCTAAACACAGTGTAGGTTTGTACGTAGCAACTTTAACAAATTGACAATTCAAATGAACTTTTGCTCAGTAATTGGTCGAGGATTGAGAGTGACAGGATGATACAAGTTATATTACTTTTACATAAGAATTAAATGAAATAAACACAAAAATGTTAATTGAAGCTTATCTTACCATCCTGAATACCGCATTCAAATTGGTGCAGCTTTAGTGGAGATTTGTGTGCACAAACGCACTTTAAATTTAATAGCGTGTGTTCCGTAGGTAACACCGACTTTTATTTTTTATTATATGCATTGATTTAAACCATTTTTTCTACATTTCCAGAACCGTAGCAGACTTGAAGCAGCGACTCGCCGGCCTGGCTGGCTTCCCTGCCTCCAAGATGAGATTATTCTACGTCGACCAAGATGTGCGAGACACGCAGGTAATTACAATTTGACCTACATTAACGTTAACAACTACGATATTATAAAACAACAATACAAAATAATATCAGCGAGGCAGATTTGGTTACCTAATTTAAGTTTTCAAAACCACCTGTTAAGTTTTAGTAGCTGTTGGGGGGTTCTTATTGTTCCAAGTTGAACTGACTTATTTTATCGGCAGTCCGCCAATTCTCTTTTATTCAAAAGAACTTACTAACTTTTTACTTTTTATTACTAATTTTTTTAAATAAAAGGGGTGTTTTCGCCGTCTATCGTCTACCATTTTTTACCACAGAGTCGAAATGTATCAGTAATATTACCATAAACAAATTACAATTTATGAATAAAGCTTCCCATAATAGTAGCAGTAAAGCTTCTTGTGAAAGAATTCGTCCAGGGAAGTACTGCCACCTTACCTATTTCTGCTGCCAAACAGTAATGTAAACATTACTGCGGCTTGGAAGTGTAAGGGTGCTAGTGAAATTACAGGCACATGGGGCTTGTCAACTTATGTCTCAGGGTGACCGGCGCAATGGCAGTGCCCCTCAGATCTGTGCGATTTAAAGGTCTGAAGGGCTCTGCAACTATTACGGATAGGCGTGTCGTTTACCACCAGGCGCACGACTTGTTCGTCCAGGCAAAATATATAAAAAATGCAACTGAATGTTTAATTAATACCCATTAAATGAAACCTAAAGCTAGAAATCATAAACAGTACTAATAATAAATGCAAATAACCAATAATCAATAAAAGTATGTTTTTTTACCTCCCCTAAAGAGTGTAGATGTTGTGTTATTCCCTTTTTCCCTGGAGGCACTGATATACAGAGTACTAAAAATTCTAACTTTAAAAGTTCGTTGAATGACATCTATTTGCCAAGTTTTATTAAAACTTGTTACCGGAAAGTGTGCGAAACCGGATTCATCCCCTAGTTTGCCACCCTTAGAGGTGGAATATTTTCTTCAAATTTAAACGGAACCAATACTGAGGCACCCTCGTTCCAACAGAAAAAAAATTATCGAAGTAACAAAAATACAAGTCGAAGAACCTCCTCCTTTTTTTGAGGTCGGATAAAATGTCATGAGACACGTCATCTTAACCTGTTACATCCCGCTGCTGGACCGGGACTTCTCTAAAGAGAGAATTTAAACAGTCCCCTTTATTAAATTAGCCATAGGTAGGTACATGGCATCACAGGGACTCGAACCTTCTCAATTGAAACGCAACCGTTTACCACCGAATCCTTATTAAAGGTATCTGTGGAATTATTCCAGGGCCCTGAGGAGATGAAGTACCCGACAAAGCAGCTGTACTCGTACAACATCCGGTCTGGCGACGAGATCATCATCGAGTCCAAACTGAAGAACTCCATCTCCAACAACTCCACCTCGTGAAGTCCACGCCGGCGCCGCCCGGTCGGGAAGCGTTAGGTGCATTTCTGGGAAAATCGAGACCATTCCCAGGAACCCATTTTTAAACTATCAGATAAACTTCTCGTTCTGCCAAAAACTACAAGTCGCGAGTTAAACGGAAATGCGCCTAACTGTGTTTTGGGGTTTGATTAAGCCTCAATGCCATAGCAAAATGTTCATATGCTAGTGAGGTTCAGTATGATTACATTGTGTTTAATTAGCTCTTCATGTCGTACTAATACTGCGTTTTAATGTAAAAAGAGATTTAGTTTTTTTTATATTTTTGTAAGAGACATTACTTTTTGTTTTATCCCAATGGGTATGTCTTAATTATTTCCTCCTTCACAAGAATGTGTTATATATGATGTATTTTGTTTCAAATGGTTGTTGCGAAGCATTTAGATTCTAAGATTAGTCACAAAGCGATAGTGACCATTGTGATTTAATTTACTGTTTTGACAAGGAACGATATTTGGAATAATTTTTTTTTATAGATCATGACATCCTACGTTTTAACTATTATTAGCTTTAAAATAATGCATGCTACTTACAAAACCTGAGTCAGCTTTCATAGTTTATTTGCAATAAGCATCTGTGATATAAATTATAGTTTAAAAATACAATTACAACCTGATTGAACTACTTATCATGTGGCGTATTATTGTTTTGACACTATTTCTAATAATAATGGTAAAGTCCTAAACATCTCAATGGCTTTCTAGAACAGCGGCCTATCTCAAAAACCCAAAATCAGGGTTCAAAATGATCAAGATTATCCAATATATTTATATCCGATAATTATCCTTGCTGATTCATAGTTTTGTCTCTTTGACCGTCTCGGACACAAACGCATGCCACGGCGTAATTATCAATGTATATTTATTGTGATAATTACCACTTCAAACCCTGCCCAACATTCAACAGGAAGATGTCATGTACCAGCCCTAATGTTGACAACATTGATTTTTTTAACAAACAGAGGCTCAAGTATCATATTCATAATAAAATGTAGCACATTCCAAATATAACCGTGTAAAAGAAAAAAAATCAGCTATTTTGATATAGGCCATTATTCTGAATAGCAGCAATCAACTATTGAGTATTATAAATGTGCTTATTAAAACAACATAAAGTGATACTAACTGCCATTTTGGTAAAACGTAAGTATACCATGTATGTCTGATAACTTTAAGAATAAATATTTTTAATGGGAGATTTTAAAATTGCCGGACTATTTCGAAATAATCAAGTTCGTCTTATGAAAAACTGTAAATTACTTAGGCAGTTTTAGATTTATTGGAGATAGTATATCATGCTACTGCCTTAAAGCATGTCTTCAAACACGCGGTACTATTTTTCTTAGAACTGCCAAATGTTTATATCTCTAGGCACTAAACTATATAGTGTTATTAACAGTTTAAAGCCTACTTTAGCAAGTGATACAATGCAATAAAGAACACAAAAGTTTTATCAATATCTTAAATACGTATTTTTTCTTTCTAGACTAGAATCTGAAAAATGGGAAATAAAAAGTAAATGTGTAAAGAATTATTTGTTTTATTTATCTTTATCATTCAGTAATCCTCAACCCACAGCCCTTTTCCATAAACAGCGATCATAGCGTTTTGAACTTGTTCAAGAACATAACTATACACTTGTTTCCAATCGTCATTATTCAATTCATGAGTTCGTCTTCTAAGAAAATTCAGCAAAATATTTAACTTATCTATGTTTCTCTTAATAACCATTTCACGCATATAGGAAGCTATCATATCCGTATCGCAGGGCAAGGGTACTTGCCCGCTTTCTAGCCATGCTCGCAATAGTTCTCTAACCCTTTCCCAAGGTAGCGACAGAAGACCTTGTGGTTCTTCTTCTTTTATCTTTGATTTTACTACAGGCTTTTCGTCCACTTTTTGTTGAATCATTGGATTTTTATATGGTGTATCTTTGATGAGAGTTTCTCCTTGCAGAAATTTGCTTATACAGGTTTTTGAAGTAACAGTCTTAGCATTCTTTGGGGGCCTGCCTCTTCGTTTCCCAGTTGGTGACTTAACAGTGCCTGAACCTGGTGACTTCTCAATGGGGGATTTTATTTTTGCTTTTTTTGGTGTAGTAGAATTTTTAGTAGCTACGTCATTATTGACGTCATTTTTCACTGATATTACAGGAACAACACTTACATTTTTATTCTGGTTATCTTTCTTCACAGGTTTCGTGGTTAAGAATTTACTTATGGCGCCTTTAGTGCATTTCACATTAGCAGATTCTAATTTAGTCATCTGAATACCTATCCCTCTCAATTCTTTAGGATCAATTTTCTGCTTCTTACACAATGAAATAACTTCTGCAGTAATTACTTCAATATCGTTTGTAGAAGTATTTAATGAAGTGGATTTATTGATGACATCACAAAAGCCATGACCCATAAATTTCGCAGTTTCAACAGGGGCATCTTCAGCTCTGACCATAAGTTTTAATGTTATGCACTTTGCCAAAACTTTAAATTGTTGCATTCTAGAGTGAACTTCAGTAGACAACTGTTTCAAGAAATCTATGCATTGTTCATTATTTTCAAATCTGATACCATAATTTACTTCAGCAGAGACTGATTTCCTAATTGTATGGAATGTTAGAGGGTTTGCATCACGTCCGCGACATTGATCAAATAGCTGAGCTCCAGTTTTATTCCCCAAGTGACTCTTTAAAGCAGCTATTGTTAAACTTTGTAATGACCCACAAGTTAGATGTCCAATAGATTCCAATTTTTGAGCTGTCTGTCTGCCTACTCCAGGTAAATCCCTGAGTTTTATGTCAAACATAAAATCTTCAACAAGTTCAGCAGTAAGAAAAAACTGACCATCTGGTTTTGCCCTTTTTGTAGCCAGTCTCGCTTGTAATCTGTTGCCACCAAAGCCAGTAGAGCATGGACATCCAGTTTTGTTTTTAATTTCATCCCTCAATGCTGTTGCAAAATCTTGGACGCTTGCATCAATTTCTTTCAAAAGATCTGTACAATCAACATACATTTCATCACAAGACACAGCCTCTATATCTAGAGTGTACTGAGCTATTGTGTTATACAAGGTATATGCCACCTCTTTGTATCCTTCAAAGTCATATGGAATGGTTTGTATATCTGGACACAGTTTTAAGGCTGCTCCCATGAACATTCCATTTCCAACACCTTTAGCCCTAGCTTCATAAGAACATGAAGCTATTTCACTCATGGAGCCGAATTTATCACCCTCATCAGCAATGCAGTCCAATCTACTCTCAAATTCTATCTCATCCTCTGGCTTACCTGTAGCTTTGCCTATTTTTTTTATTTGTTTCTGTTTATATAGACTGATCTCTACATCCCTGTCTACACCAGGCCTTTTAGGACGAGGATGTCCTCCTTTAGAATGAGTCACAGCAACAGGCATGCCTCGCAGATCTGGTCTTTGTCGTAAACCAACTGATACAAAAAAGCAGTCCATGTCAATATGCATTATTGTCTTTCCTTTTTCAAAGTTTAGTGGAGACAAATTATTTGAACTATTTAAAGCCAGTATCCTCTCTTTTAAGTCACTTCTACCTGGTAACACAAATTCACTTTTCTCTCTAAGTTCATTGACGTGTTGTTTAAAACATGCCCCTAATTGGGATATGTGATGTAATCTTGAGTTATTGTAGAATTCTGATATGAAGTTTGGGTCAACAGCTGTTTTAGGTCCATGGTCAGACTTTTTTAAATCATGCACTTGATTTGTATTAGGAATTAAAGGCTTCAGAATTACAGATTTTTCTGTTAAAATCTCCCGTTTTATTGCACCAGCAACTAAATGACTGTTGCCTTCATCACCCAAACATTCTAAATCTTTCTCTAAAGGATCTTCCAGTATACTTTTCTTAATACTAATATCACAGTCTGCCTTACTTTCATCTATTAAATTCTTTTCAACTTTATTAAAATTCAATCTGGACTGTCCTCTAGGATTCCTGAACAGCAAATATTCTCTATAATCCAGTAATCTATTTGATGATATACTATCAGTTATCCACTCCGGTCTCACTATTCTGCTTAGTGACATATTTTTTACCTTAGTATCAGGCAAATTTGAAGCAATGACATAGTCATTATTTCTTTGGTAAGTGTGGTAAATACCTCCATGAACAGACATGAGGGTCTTTAATTCGTCAGCAGAAGGTGTAGTGTACCCGTTTACGAAAATACTCACGCCGCTGAAGATATGAGACACTTGGTTTTCTTCCTTATTTATTCTATGTGAAAATTGTTCTTCCAATTTCGCAATCTTGGCGTTCATGTAACCGCCCCAGGCTTCGAAGCCATTGTCTGGAAAGTTTCCTCGACGACTCATTTCAAATTTTATTCTTCTACTTTATAATGTTATAGCTCCATCGATACCATTTATAATTCCGCCAATGTCAAGTTATGGAACACACCTTTGTTTCCATCCTCTAAGGAACACACGCGTTTTTTTACTTATAATTTGACCGGTGACTTCGGCAGAATTCACTGAGAATTATATGGATAAAAAACAGTGAACGAATCAACAAACAAGGACTGACACTGACATTTTATAATACGGTCAAAATAAAATGGAAACCGAAAGTGAAAACCTATTTATTTACGAAAAATTGGGTAGTAAACTAAAAATAATGGCAACAGTAAATGTTTGAATTGAAGTTTGTTTACGGTTGCTTTTCTGACGTTTGTATTTAAAATTTTCAAAACCGATTGTATTGTGAATGTTTATATATAGTTTTCTCACGAATTTTTTAAATAATGTCTGTAATTGAAGACGTTGTTGGACAAGTCCCGTGGGTTGGTCCAACTTGCTGTAAAAATACACTGTCTGTGGTTGTTTTATCGTCAAACGTGGACTTAACCGAAAAGATTTCTGCAGCGCTCACTGAAGTTCACACAAAAGGGAATTTTCGATGGAAATTAATAGTGCTAGGATCTTTTCAACTTGAGGATGTGGTTAGGCAATCTGATATTACGGGAAGAGTGGCTATTGACTTTGTAGTTGTGGCTATGGACACAAGTAGAATGATCTGTTTAGATTGGACCAAGAAAGCAGTCCGGCAGGTGCATCCAGACCTTCGAACGCGGAGAACAGTGCTCGTGAACGCCAGTGGATTGCCGATAAACGGCATGGCGGTGAACCCTGACGAATTGATCAGTTTACAATCAGAGTTGAAGGTGGATATGCTGACTGGAAATGTTTTTAAATCAGATGATGCTGTATTTTTGGCTCGAAGATTGTTGAAGTACATGGAGGTCTCTATTGGGGTGAACACTGGAATACCTAATTTGAATGTGTAGTCTGATTTACTGTGGTGTTAGGTGAACAATAGTATGCACTAGAATTAACTTTAATGAATGTGTTAAGTGTAGTTCATATTGTGAAAACATTTGAAATGTTTTGAATGAATTTTAAAAAGGGAGTGTCAGAACAAAAACGGCCAAGTCACATTTAGTGGTTTTTGATTGTTTGACAGCAGCTCTGCTACTAAATCTTCTTTAAAAATCCATTTCAAATGCACAGATCTGAAGACAATGCGACAAATACATTCAATGAGACTAGACAAGAATTGAATAAAATTTATTAGTTCTTGTTCTAAAGCTCCTTAAATATTTTAATAAATAAGTCCACAAACACATTTCCGAATCAATTTTTATTATTATATTTAGATTGTACTACAAAATAATAGGAAGTTTTCTACAGTTACATTATATATTACATAAATAATGAAACAATTACAGCAGTCCTCACTCGTGTGGCAATTTCATAATAACTGCGTAGCCACACTATATCTATATTATGAGTACAAATAAACATAAATAAAATTTTACGACAACCGTTATAATTGTCCTACACAAGCCCTCTTACATCTTAGCTGTCATAACACAATTATAACTGAATTGTAAATTATGACAAATAATATACTTAACTAACTGAAATACTGTTCATTTATTATGTGAAATAAAATTATAAATAATTACCATGTACATAAAAACTATGAAAGTAAAAACCGATTCATATAAAAATCAACATTGAATGTCTTCTTAAAAACTTAAATCCAAAATGCACTAATATTTTTATCCATCACTAGTAGGTACATTCATTTATTTGAGAAATGTAACTAATGATTTTTATTTAATTTGATGGACTCATTACAGATTCAGGGCTAAAATTAGAATATGATTTTAAGTATAAAATGTAATAATAATTTCTATAATCATCACAAATTAACAAATTATAATATCTTCAATTACACTTCCAGCCACATAATTTGAATTTTTATTTAAAGAGCTTGACTACAAAAATTTTGTCAATTTTTCCCAGGTTTCACAAATTTTATGTCATGTCTAACAAATACTTACAGAAATGATGATTAGTATACCAACTACCAAATTGTGTTAAGATTTTGAAAAATCATACATTTTATTAAGCTTAGGGGGGCTTTGAATACTGAAAATGCAAGGTGGGTCGTATTATGTGTCTAGACGTATATTTCTTTCTATGAGTAAAATGGTGTCTACAATCAGAGCAAAAATTAACAAATTTTGACATTACTTTTGAAACCTACGGTCCATCAAATAAAAAATCATGTATATAATATGCTGGGACTAAACATTAACGTCACTTTTTGTGACTGAATTAAAATAAACGTATACAAAAATTTAATTAAGATTACGCAATATCACAACTAAACCTGATATTACCAGGCAAAATTAATAAATAGCATACATTGAACTGTATTACCGCTGAAACCTGCATTGCACTGGGAGAAACAATGTTAGTAACACGTCCATTCTTTTATTGGACAGCAAAATAAACTGTATAGCTTGTAAACAAGTATGTGGAACAACTAACAGTAATGTGAGTAGTTGAAATTACGACGCGATTGCCTTTAATTTTGCAAGAACCTGCAAGGAAGATGTGAAACTTACCAATTTTCAATAGTTTTTTTTTATTGAAAATGCACGCAACTTGCGTAAGTCTGTAATGGGATTACAATGGGCTATGTTTTAGTTCTATGAACACCAAGTACTTGCAAAAGTAGGAAACGAGTTATAAACCCATAGTTACAATTTAAATTGGTGTTTAGATTTATAATTATAATTAATATAAGTAGCGAAATATCGATACATAATTTTGTGGGTGCATTACGATTGTGCAGATTGTCAGGACATAGAGTGACGAGACACCAGACAAGACTTAAGCACATGCAAAATAATCATCACCTTCACTTTGGAAATCTCCGTCATTACATTCTGCCTGCATACACTAACAGAAAAAAATTACTAAAAATACCTTACATATCTGGCAAACTGACAACAGCAGTCTACTCTGGTGTCTATGCTATTGAATTACATATTCTCATTGTATAGTATGATGTTAAATATTGAAGTTTTCTAACTACAGACATATAATAACACACCTTACATCTAATTTCCTGTACTGAGAGATATAGTTAAAAATATTCATCTGACATTCTCGATGCATCCCACATGTCTACATCTCAGGCGTACATTGCCGGCACAAACTTGGACGAGAAACGCGCAAGTAATGTATGCCAGAAAGCATTCAAACCTACCTATAATTAGGTTACATAGTCCCTATAAAGAAGGCATCTCACACCATTTCAGTGATTTCGTATAATCAGTCTGATGTGTGCCTTAAACATTTGCCAAGTCTAATAGCACTGAGCTATATGCCCTTATATTGATTAGGAATTTTGTTTTCACCTATCAATCTGTCTAAGCCGGATGATTCAAGTACAACTATAGATGTCAGATCTTCAAGGCACGTATTAACAAATTCATCTCAAGCACAGAATAAATGTTAAGATCTATATCATTTGAATGCACAACATTGATTACTCAATGTTTATGTATCATTAGAGCAGGCAAAATTTCAGCTTATGAATAAACATCGTTCTGCACTTTAACTCCAAATTGTTACTAAGTTCAATGAAGTGTAAGGTATTGGTCACTTGCAATGGTATCATTCAAGATGCCAATGATTATAGTCCATTAATCTGTATTAATATTTTCTGTGAAAAACTTGAGATATATCTCAGGCTCTGGGAGACGTCACAGCCAATACGCATTTAGTACTGGACTTCTGTTTATTAATACGAGCCCAATGTTCCATGCACATGAGTCACATTTTAAGCACGACTTTATAAAATCTAAATTGTTCGTAGTTAAAATCTGACATGGCTTGTGCGAATCGATAATAAAGTGGCGCCTTAGGCTTCCACTTTAAGTATTAAGAGATTTAATTTTACAGTAAAAATAAATGGAAAGTATTCTGATATGTGGGGCGAGCTACCGTTCGAGAAACAAAGCGTCCCAAGTAGATTCGGATAATACTAAAACAATCGAAATTAACGTACTGAGATTCTTGATATGTAGCTTCGCAGCGCAAGCCTCGAGGCGGAAGCTACACGGGAGCTAATGTTCCGATATATCACTTATTTTGGCTAGACACTGGAGTCCCGAGGTCGGGCCTGGCGTCGCAACCACCGAGTCCGTACACTTCGCTCCAATCAGCATAGCACCTATCGTTCACTGTACACTTCCTAATAATACTCTTGGGTCTGGAAAGGAAGCGGAATTGTCAAAGTATTTTTAATTGTAAAGCTCAATTTACATTGTCGCAGAACGGAATGGAACGGAAGTATAGAAAAAATAAAACAAAGCTAAATTAAAACAAAAATAGAATAGCATAGCAAAAGGAAAATAAATTTAAATAAAAATAAAGTCATAATAATAGGTAATGATAACTTGGCAAAAACTTGAAATAGTCAACACAATTAAAGTGAATGTCATATGTGCGGCTGTGGCGTCAATTTTGCCTCGCGAATACGCGAGCATGTGCGAGAAGTCGCCGGAAGACGCGCGACTTAATTTTTTGGCTTGTATCTAGTTTGTACATTATTACATAGTCCCATGTTTCGGTTATGAGACAACGCAGAGCCAACATAATCCTATTAATACAGGTCCTGAACTTAACTTAAAATAGGTTATGTTACAATCTTAATAACTTTGAATTGCTGTAGATCAATCAGCTTGTAGGTGTACATTCTTTTCTTAAATAAATTATTTCTGTATTATAAAAGCAATGTTAATTTTGCCATGTACAATTTCGTTAGAAAAGCTCGCTTCCATTCCGTGTCGCCGCAATGCGAACGGAGCCTAAATCGACGAGACGAGACGCGCCTTACCTAGTCGGAGTCGAGGTTGACGACGTCGGAGGCGCTGGTGGGCGGCGGGCGCGCGGCCAGCGGCGGGCGGCCGCGCGGGCGCCGCTCGCCCAGCATCATCTCGCGCGCGCGCTGCTGCTGCAGCGCCATGGCCACGGGGTCGCGGCTGCCCAGCCCGCCCGCGTAGAACTTCGCGCCCATCGGCTGCCACACGACTCCGTCAGGCGCCACGCCGACGACGCTCTCCGCGCCGCGGGAGAGACCCCGCCCCCCCCTCTCCGCGCACGGGAAGAGCGCCGTCCGAGTAGCGCCCTACGCTAGCCCTGGACGGAACCGTCTCGGGTCGGAAATGTGAGGTCATACGTTTTGTTGGTGCTGCAGGAGCTGCTGCAGGCGCATCTGCTGCTGCTGCTGCTGCTGCTGCTGCTGCCGCTGCCACGGCGGCTCGTACTGCAGCCCGCTCGACCCGCCGGGGCCCTGTCCGCCGGCGCCGCCTGTACCGTCACAGTCGTACGACAAATATCCTGTTTATACTTCCAGATATTTCAGAAGTTAAAACTAATTCGTTATTATTTCACTACGTGGCGCTACCGTCGAGTCGAACCTAGCTGTAATTTTGTGCCCCACAATTTCATACAGACCTGATCTTAAATACCACAATTTTATTATTCGTCGTCTACCGGTTAATGGGTATGCAGGCATTAAAAAATATGTAAACATCGCAAAGGAAGATCCTTGACTGTTCTCTGCTTATAGCGATGCACTCAGCCGGATTAAAATACAAATTCTGGCTACCTACTATCTACAATCGCAGTTTTGGCAGGAAACCACTTAACATATTGTTTTCTTGTGAGTAATAGCACTGTACAATTTGCCGTTCAAAAACATGTAAAGGCACTGGTAATTTTGTCTGGCGTTGATTCTACAAAAAGACCCAAAAGGTTCCCCACAGCATATTAACATTTAGGTTTATTAGAACCAAATGAATACGTAGAGTTAAATGTTGTGTCTATTGAATTTCAACTTACCAGCATTCATAACAGGGTTCATCATTGCCGGATTCATCATGCCGGGCTGCGCGTACTTATACATGTCGTTCAGTTTCTGCATCAACTGTGTAATATAATAAACAATTATGTATTCAAAGGTCATTTAATAATTACTAATGTGTAAAATAAAATTAGGTCAGATAGCATGATAACCATTAATCAATGAGTAGGACAGGGATCTGCCACTTAACCATCTAAATTGATGATTTTTAATTGAATCAGCCTGGTGTTCAGAGTGCAATGTTAGCATCAGTTATTTACTGATACATTGTTTTTATTCTAGATTCGTCGTCTAGTACCGATACTGCAATTTTAAAAATATATTATGCTAATTTATATATTAATTAGTTGTCGATTTAATTTGAGTAGAATTGATAAAAGTAAAATGGCAACACAACGGTGATGGAGGGTGCATTAGAGCATTATAACCGTCATTTTCTCGCTCAACCTATCGTTGCGTACGGTCGAATCGCATTCACTGCTCACGCGAACCGGTTACAAACTTACGTTTAGACTCAAATACAAACTAATTTGGACTTTATGTGGAAGTATTAAGAGTGAAGTGGACGGTTTTTGGACATTATGTTTTGCAATAAATGTGATGATGAGGTTACCGACGGCGTGGTTTGCAGCTCCTGTGATGGTAATCTTCATTATGACTGCTCAGGAATATCCGAGGTTAGCTACCGCAAAATGGGCCCAGAAAAGAAGGCCACCTGGAGGTGCTGGCAATGTCGGAACCAGGGGAAAGTTGCCGACAATGGTATTCTAAAAGTGCTAAACGAAATTAAACTGCTAAGGTCTGAGTTTTCACCAATGAAAAGTGATATACATAAATTGACCTGTGGGGTCGATAACCTCAATACAAAGTTCGAGGAGATGGAATCCCGTTTCTGTGGTTTGGAAGACCGCGTCACTGTCATCGAAAAAAATTCGTCTATAACCTCAAAATTACAAAAAGATCTCGCCGCTGCGAATATGGTAATCACCACTCTTCAGTGCGATAAGGAAAAATCTGAGCAGTTTTCTAGGCTAAACAACCTGGAGATTTCTGGAGTACCCGTAACAAGCGGGGAGAACGTTCACTCCATACTTGACTTGCTCTGTGTGAAGGTGGGTGTTGGTTTAGATGAAAGGGATGTGGATCGTGTTCATCGGGTGCGTCGGTTCGAGGCGGCGGCGGCGGTTGGTAATCTTACCGGCCGGCAACAACAACAACAACAACCAGCCCGCCATCCTGCTATAATCGTGCGGTTCACAAGGCGTGTCTGCAAAGATCGGGTACTTGCGGCAACGCGTGCGCGCCGCGGCCTCACGTCAGCTGATCTCGGCCTGCCTGGGCCCTCGTCCAACATATACGTGGGTGACCACCTTACGCCGCCGAGTAAACTATTACTTCGGCGTGCCCGCGAGCTGAAGGCGGAGCTCGGATATGAATATCTCTGGGTTAGAGATGGAAAAATATTGATGCGTAAAAGTGATAAATCGAGAGTGATCCTTATCATAAAAAATGAGGACTTCGAAAAACTAAAGTGACTGTATATATTTAATTTCTTATTAATACTAACCTATAGATGTAATAAGCTTACACAAACATGCGCTCATGTTCTGTTTCTGTTTTTGTTTCTTTGCCTACTTTTATTTGAAAGTTTAACACCTACGTATTTGCAACGTTATAAATTGTTTAGTTTTAATTGCTTTTTCTCGCCATCCGTCTGTATCTATCCGCATACTTTGTGCCTGTTGTTGTCGATGCCAACCAATAAAATTACTTATAATTTATTCTTAAATTATTTTACGTACTACCTGCGACAGACCGTTCATTTATTCACATACGATGTGTTACATATTAGTTAAAAATGCTTGCTAAGTTGCGTGGATATTATCAGAACGTTCGGGGTCTTCGTACTAAAAGTCACGGTTTCTTATCTAATGTAGTTATAAATAATTATGATTTTCTTTGCATCTCAGAAAGCTGGTTAACGTCAGACTTCTACGACCACGAATATTTTGATAGTAGGTATACGGTATTTCGTTGCGATCGATCGGCTGCAGCCAGCGGGTGCGTAGCCGGCGGAGGTGTGCTAATCGCAGTGCGCGCGAGTTGTCAGCCCGTGCGCCGTGATTGGCCATGTCCGCCCGCTGCGAGTACCGAGTGCATATGGGTCTCTCTGCCGCTTCACGATCACGACTCGATGACGATGGCGGGAGCTCGCCGCCCCTCGGCCGCGCGCCACCGCCAGAGACACCTGAACGTTGCGTGTTTTTACTCTCCGAGCGGCCCCGATCATCGCGACGACCTAAGCGCATTCTTTGATATTGCTAGTCAATTGATTAATGATCGACCGTGTGATTTATTTCTATTTTTAGGTGATTACAATATACCTCACGCCGAGTGGACGGTATCCGATGCGAACAAAATTGAACAGATTTACAGTAGTAATTATGAGTCTCAATTATTGAGCCAATTTATGGCATTATCTAACCTTACACAATTAAATTCATGTCGTAATAGTAGTCATCGAATATTAGACCTTGTTTTAAGTAATGTTGACTGTTGTGTCACTCGTTGCCATGCTCCGCTTACGGTTGAAGATAATTATCACCCATCTCTTAAGATTGATTTGATTTCAGACTATAGCCCTCCCCGAAAATCAAAAACAAAATTAGTTTATAGCTACCGTTCTGCAGATTTTGACTCGATTAACTGTGAGCTTCAGAAATTTGACTGGTTGGTATTATTTAGTGGCTTAACAGTTGAAGAATGTGTCTGTAAATTTTATTCTGTGCTGAAATCACTTATGATTAAATTTGTTCCTCTTAGGCAGCTCCCTTTATCAGGTACTTTGCCTGTATGGTTTAGTAGATCCATTAAAAAAATATTAAATGAAAAGAAAAAATACCATAAACTCTGGAAACTGTACGGTAATCCTCTCGACTACAACACATTTAGTTTACTCAGAAAACGCGCCGTGAAATTGGAAGCCGAGTGTTATAGAAATTACATTCAATATTCTGAGGAAAGTATTAAGGAACACCCAAAGTATTTCTGGACATACATAAAATCATTATATTCAAACAATCGTCTTCCGCAGACAATGACATATAAAGGTGTTACTCTCGGTAATGGGCAAGATGTCTGTGATCGTTTTAATGACCATTTCCATTCTGTTTTTGAGCAATCTAGCTCCAATCCCACCCTTCAGTTGAACACAAATAATGATAGCTTTTTTAATTTACATAGTATAAATATTACTAAAGATGCCGTTTTAAAAATTTTGAAATCTATTGATACGACTAAAGGTGCCGGCCCTGACGAGATCCATCCTATTCTTATTCGCAATTGCGCGACAGCTCTTTCTGTGCCCTTAACATTAATCTTCAAACAGTCTCTTAATGAAGGCATATTCCCTGATGTTTGGAAGCAAGCGTGGATCACTCCTGTTCCAAAAGGTAGTGTCAGTGGTGACATTGAAAAATATCGTCCTATCTCAAAGCTTTGCCAGTTTGGTAAAATATTGGAAAAAATGGTCACAACTCAAATATTTGCAGCAGTCCATCGCTTTATTGCTCCTGAACAACACGGTTTTTATAAAGGGCGTAGTGTTGATACTAATTTATTAAACTTTTTGGAATTTATTTTGAATGCATTAGACGACGACTGCCAGGTGGACGCGGTGTATACTGATTTCGCTAAAGCTTTTGACAAAATTTGTCATAATACGTTACTTGCGAAGCTCTGGCGACTCGGTATACACGGCGACCTCTTGCGTTGGATTACGTCATACATTAAAAATAGGCGACAGGCAGTTGCACATGGTGGTTTTGTTTCTGTTTATAAGTGTATCACCTCCGGAATTCCTCAAGGTTCACATCTCGGGCCACTGCTATTTACTCTTTATATCAACGACATCACTAGCATCACTACATTCTCTAATTTACTAATGTATGCAGATGACACTAAGATTTTTAAGGTTATTCGTAACAGCAGTGATTGCGATAAACTGCAAAGTGATATTGTGAACTTCGAGGAATTCTGTAATGTTAATAATTTATTCTTAAATTCTGACAAATGCAATGTTATTACTTTTACTCGTAAATTGAACCCAATAAAATATGATTACATTCTCTGTGGTAAACCTCTTTCTCGACTTGCACAGATTCGTGACTTGGGCGTTATTATGGACTCAAAGCTCACGTTCACACCACATATAGATAATATGCTTAAAAAATCCTTTAAGCAGCTCGGACTCATATTACGTATGGGTAAACCGTTCAAAAGTCCTTTCACATATAAACTTTTGTACAATAGCTTTGTTCGTAGTCGAATTGAGTTCGCTTGTACTGTTTGGCATCCATTCTACAACATCCATGTCGATAAAATTGAAAGGGTGCAAAAGAAATTTGTTAGGGCTCTAGATATTAGGACTGGTCATGATTATATTGATTATGAGCATTCTGCTACCAGGCACAAAATTGAATTGCTTAGGAGTCGTCGTGACTATATAGATATTATTAGTTTATATAAGATATTAAATAACAAATTTGATTCAACATCTCTGTTAAATCGTATATACATTAGAGTACCCCGTAAAATTGAAAGATCTTGTCGCAGGAATACACTTTTCTCAATTAAGAAATCGCGAAAACGTTTTGTTGGTAATAGTTTTATCAGACGTTCATGTCGAACATATAACAACAGGTTCATGGATGTGGATATTTTTTGTAATTCGTTGGCGAAATTTAAAACTAAGATTAAAGCCTTATTGTAATTATGTTCAATGATTTTAATTTACTTCATTTTTCTAGTTTTTGTAATTTCAGTCCATTTTTAGTTATGTTAGTTAGAGCAGATTTTGTTTGATTTGTACCTATTTTGAATTAAGGAAACTGTAAGTCTACACCACATGTTTACAATGTAAAATATTTTTGTATATCGACTGTTTGTTTCTTAACATAAATAAAAAAAAAAAAAAAAAAATTACTTTTTCCCGTTCAAAATATTTGTATTTATATTATACAAGGCAGTATCTATCTGACAGTTGATTATGTGATTAACAAAAACATCGTTTTTTTTAAGTGATGGTTGTACTGGTATTAAATGAAACATAGCGGATGGGTTTCGAAACGCATAGTATTTCACTCTGAACTTCAGCTTCGTTTTGACGAGTGATATGACTGTGATGGTTAAAAACAAAGCAGTTTATAAAATAATATCTAGTTATGGAGGAGCGAGACATTTTACATTTTTTTTAATAACAGGACGTTAAAAATTAGACGCTTGTAGTAAAAAGCGCTAAAGTGGCGCCTCTGTGATGCCGCAATAAAATTTTCATACAAATTCTAAAAGCGAAGCAGCGGCGCCACAGTCGCGTTATGGTGGCGCTTCAGCAACAAATGATTCGCATTACAATGTGGAATCTAAAGCGATCTATGTAAATTAACTTTTTCCACCTAAATGTTTAAGTACATTCGTGCTGCAGTAGCTATAGTACGATTATTTACTCGCTGCAGACTCGGTCATAAATTATCAGAACGGGACAGTGATATTGCACTCTCATTGCCACTTACGAGCACTGGTGGTACGTACGTAAGGTACTGGCCTTTTGTTTAAGCGCAGGGCCGTGCATTACTTCAGTCGACAAACGTCATAGATATTCAATTAGTGAAAAAAGAAATGGCACTAAAAATAATTTATAATACATTATTGATAGGGACTATACGTACATAATCATATGTACGTATGATTATACATGTACATCATACTACGTCTATACATACGTACTATATAGTACGTGCTTGAGCCGGAATATTAGTTCAAACAAGTAAAATATTTTTATAAAAACTATCCATTGTGACAGGGCAAACGTTCAAACATGCTATTAAAATAAAAAAAATCCGACATTTAGGCAGGTAATAAATTACTCAAAAGGTACCGCACCGAATTGTTTTTATCGATAACGGGCATGCGCACGCACCATGTGCATACGTCACTAACCGCAATATCGTTGACCCGCTCCGACGACATAGGACTGAGTCTGCAGCGAATAATCCAACTACAAGTGCTTCAGCCCGGATGACTTTGTTTCAGTTTTATTTATTTATTTATTTGGGTGTTTCATTTTTAGATGCTCAGCATAGTAAAAATTTTGTAGCAGGTTATCATGCTACTCTTACAGAACATAAATATAAAGGGATCTAAAAAAGACATGCCGAAACTAAAAAGTAATCATGGCGTACAGGACAACATAACGGGCAGGCTAACAAAGATTCACAGGTAACTTACGCCATAATCGTATCCACCGAACATCTGTACAAAAATGTACGTGTCAATATTTTATTTTTATACATTTTTAAGACATGTGTAATGTGTCAAACCTGCACAGGTGACTCAATAAGATACCCCAAGGTATAAAGTGACTGATCATTGGAGTACAACAACAATATGTTTTTAAAATAAATTAAAAAAAAAGAGAATTAAATAAATATTGCTTTGTCTGCGCTCCATACAGAGGTTTTATGAATGATATTTCGTCTTTCTCTTCACTAAATGTTTAGATAATCGTTTCAATTTCAAACTCACCTAAAACTTCAATATAAAAACAGCTAGACATACGATGATTAGCGAAAGAAAATCGCTTTTGAAAGCTAAGTAAAATTATATGATATGTGTATATAATTTCAGATACCACAGTTAGTGAGGAGAAAGAAGATTTCACATTGAATGTACTACTGTGATTGTTGAATTGCAGTAGAAAAATATTTCTTTCAACATAATTTTTTGAAATTGAAACTTTCAAACGATGTTACGAGTCGCTGATCAGCTTTCATAATAAATTTACATCAAGTCTTTATAAATGATATAAAACCGAAATACATACCAGTAAATCTACTACAGTATTAATGCATCCATATTTCTTTATAATCATTCTGATTTACTATTCTATAATTAAGAGACATCAATACGAATTCAAATTTCTCCCGTACTAATACGGTTCAATTTGCTTGACGCAATAAGAATTGTCCCACTGGCTTTATTTCAGAATTTATTTTTTTACAAATGACATTAAAGCCATTTCAAAAATGTATATCGTATACTATAAGTGTTCTAGTTCTATAGTTCGGTTGATATTAAAAAAAAACACTATTATATGTAAAATACCTATGTCATACAGCGGTTTTCAAAGTTCGTTTTTTTTTCTATCGTGAAAATTTGTAGGAATCGTGGTTTCTCCTTCTCTACGTTAACCAAATGTGAGTTGGAGACTTCACACGCTGTCCAAAGGCTGTAAAGCTTCTTCGGCATACAAGATTCGTCACGATGTTAGCCTTCAGCAAAAGGTTTTTATTTACTAAACATTCACAAAAATTTTAAGTCGCATACAAGCCGCCACAAAGATTCGTACCGTCAACTTGTCAATTTGAAGCTGTTGATTGTTAGGTTAGCTACTTATGTAATACCAACACAACGAAACGAAACGTCATAATTTTCCCGCGTGTGCGCCATTACTTTTTACTCTTTGTTAAACTTACATTGCAAGATGGCAGAATAAATGCGTCTTTGTTTATTTGATCCGCCTCGAAGGACCATGTTCGATATCACTCTTACGTGGACGCAGGCTGGTAGTGGAGAAACAACAATATGGCACCAAATAAACTAAGGCACATTTATTCTGCCATTTTGCAATCTAAGTTTTACAAAGAGTAAAAAGTTATGTTTAATTATGACGTTTCGTTTCGTTGTGTTGGTAGTACATAAGTAGGCAACCTAACAATTATTGTTGGAATTGCCAACAAAAGCACTACTCTATCAAACTACTGTCACAGCGTCATAGCGTCCGATAAGATAAAATAACCGTCGGCGTCGGGTGAAGTTGACTGAACAGTGGATCTTGTGTCGCGGGCGCACGCAGTGTAAGGTGTGCACTCACCCCGGGGTTGGCTCCGTAGATGAGGGGTAACATACTGCGGACCTGGTCATCGGTCAGATTCGGCATGTCCTTTCGTAGCGTGGCCGCTACGGCCGCGTACATCAGCTGCTGCTGCTGCAGCATAGGCACTGAAACATAGATGATACCCGTTTAGTTACATCTTCTAGTAGCGTTTTTAAATATCGACGTATAGTAAACCTACAGTGACCAAAAAAGACATTTAAACCCAATGCAAATATCTGCAACAAACACATAAGATCTGCTGACTCGGTTTGTAGCTCACTTGGTAAGAGCGTGGCAAAAGACGCTGGTTAAGAGTACAGTCAGATCGAAGGAATTTTTCGTGTCGTTTGATCTTTGCATCAATAATAACCAATGGTCGGAATAGGATGTTCCAAATGTATAGATACAAGAAATGACATAGAATGGTTAAAACCGCCAAATATTAATTACAGTTTTACTGCATCGTAAATCGATAAAACTACTCATCTAGGAAGCTGAAGTTGGATTTTAACAACTAATCTTTCACCAAGTAAATCTATTTTACAACTACAAGCAAAAGCTGGTTTTAACTAATGCGCGACTAGAATTATTTTCAAATCCAACTTCAGCTTTTTAGGTTAATAGCTTTATCCTACAATGCATTAAAACTATTTCCCGAAATCTGGAATTCGAATAAACATTTATCTACACATCGACGCCGGAAAGCGATCTTATCGTATTTCGAAAAATAGGACTTTACACCAGGGCCGAAAAACTATTTAAAAAATTATTTCTCTTTAATTTGAATTAGTAGAAAGTCAATTTTTAGAGATGATGTATATAATCATACTTTACACATACTTTACGTCGACATTTGAAATACCCTATTCCGACCATTGACAATAACCGACGTACAGCGCGCGACAGCCGAAAAAAATTTGGAATTACAAAATTAGAAATGTAAAAGTTTTGAATTTCTCGAGGACACAAAATATAATTGGACTATCAAATAACTGATGACGTAGTTAATCAAGTAACAGGTCTTTTTCTCTGATAAATGATGATGAAATAATAATAAATTTAAAAAATCATTGACTTTTTGCATTGAATGGGAAAGCAGCCATTTCTATTTGACGCTATTTCTTATTAATCCAATGTACATGTGGTCAAAAGCTAAGCACGTACTTGCTCCCATTCCATTGTGCATAGGCCACGAGGGGAAGGGCGCTGGCGGCGGTTTGTTCTTCTCGTTCTCGAAGTCCTCCCACGCAGCTTTACGTTCTTCTTCACTCAGCGTCTCTTCTTCTTTGTTCTCCAGCAGCGAGTCGTGCTCGTGGAATTTGTAGATCTGTAAATTATGGAATAAGTTGAGGAATTTCCATTTAGAAAAATAAACTCAAATGAGCGTAATAAGTTTGAATGCCGCATTTTAGGCTGGACACAGTGCTGGACAGTTATTTTGTTAGTGACAAGTTTTATAAACCCCAATTATGACCATTGTACCATTTACGTCATCGAGTATATAACCAGAAACAGAGACGAAATGTCATTTAATTTGTTTCAAAATATTCTGCCATATCATTACGGTGACAAATGCGCTCCGATTGACCAGCCCAAATTCGAAACAATTGACAGGTGTGGTGAATTGTTTCACTTCAAATCGACCAGTTTAACTTGAGCTTTGCTATAATGGACAATAATTGAAAAATTACATAATTTAATATTTAATTACCGATGAAATGTGGTTACGTTTGTTTTGTAATTAAATGTTTTGCTGTTTTTCACACACCGCCGAATGGAACAGCTCCCATTGTTAGAGATATTATCTTTATTACAATAAATACAGAACATTTTTGGAATATACGGAGAAGTACACACATGTCAGTTTTTGGCGCTGTACTATTTCAGCTTTCTAATTTGTGATTTCAGCTTTCTAATTTGTGATTTCAGTGCAAGCGAGAGTTGATATTTTGTATTGTATCGTATCGTATCGTTTATTGCAACCATGGTGAAAAAAACAGATGTACAAGAAATAATTGTATCACATGGGCCCTGACAGGGCGTAGCAAAAATAACTTAAATCTAGTTTATAATTATATAACAAAGTCCCGTTGTGTATACAATATTATAGGCTTTATCCATATATGCAATGGTTCAACTATTTTTTGCATAGCTATTATATAAGTATTTTTATAAATGTTTAAAATTTCTAAATATTATATTATTTAATTAGGTTATATTATGTATATTTAAAAGTGATATAAGGCCTATTTGCCTGATGAGTTGCCAGGCATGGATGGCCCTTATTTCATCTCTATTTCTGGTTATATACTCGCTAATTTACGTGTAAGACTTTTTGTGTTGTGCCTCTAACATGAGATTACAATGACAGTTATCGCTAGCGACCGCGTAAAATGTTTGTATACAAAATATTGTTCTTCTTGTGACCCCTAAGGGTGCTGTATAATTTGCCATACAAAATTGTGAAGTAATTACGCGGTCGCTATCGACAACTGTTACAGCAAACTCGTGGTAGAGGTACTGAGCTTGCAGCAGCAAGTTTCAGTGGACTTTATTACGCAGTCGGTTAGTATCCGTTACAACTTATGTTCTTTACAACTTACAACAAACCTTTACTTTCTAATTTTCTATACTTGATTATGTGTCAACTTATACTAACTTAACTACAACCAAGACGTCCTAGACTTTACAACAATAGAACCCAACTCGCATGTCAAAAATCAATAATGGTTCCATTATTTCAAGGTTTAGTATTAAACAAGATATTAATTTTTCAAGCTGGATTTATGGATGTATCGCTTTTATTGACGCTCCTACAGAGAATGATAATTTATTTCATTTTATTCAATGACAAGAGATAACGACAGGTGGCCTCTTTTTTCAGTTATAGCGATAGTAAACCTAGACTACTTCATTCTAAATCTTTTAAGATTCACAAAACTGGTTTCAATTCACATAAGCACGTTGTGTTTAAATGGGAAATCTCTTTCTGCCACAGAAATAGACGTCCTCGGTGGCGACCTGGTAGTGTATAGTGTGGGCGCTGGATGAGGTCTCGGGTTCGATTTCCGGTAAGACCAAATTGGGAAATAACTTTTCTAAATTGGTTCTGGACTAGGTGTTCTGGGAAGTACCCCAGAGTGAATTCCATTACTCTGGTTTTTTGTATAATACCAAGTAACGGGATGAATAAGTCATGCGCCTGATGGTAAGCGACACGCCTGTCCATAAGAGTTGTAGTGCCGCTCAAGAGCTTTAATTAGCGAAGATCTGAGGTGCACTGCCACATCTAATGCTATGAAATGAAAGGTGGCAGTACTTCCCTGGACGAACTCTTTCACAAGGAGCTCTACTGCTTCTAAATACTCACACTACAGGTACTCATAGTACAGGGAATTTCCTAGTTTGAGACCAGGCAATTGATGTCTGGTTGGCTGGCACATTATCTGTGACCGAATATGTGTCAATCAACGATGCTTTGTTAAAGATAGCAGAACCTACCACGTCCTCGTGCTCCTTGAGCATCTCGGCAAAGAAGCGGTCCTTGGGCACCAGCGGCACCGGCCTGGGCGCCGGCGGCCGCGGCTCAAACTTATACAGCTCCGCCAGGTCGTTCTCGGCGTAGTGCCGGTCGATCTGCTGCTCGTCGATCACGCGCTTCGAGATGGCCTGCTTCGTCACCTGTCGCTCGTAGATCTTCTCCTCCATCGTGCCCTGCAACCGCAAATAAATAATCTCTCTTCTGACCAACTACCGCATTCGACATGTAATAATGCGTAACTAGAAATTTGGAAACTTCCCTGGTAGTTTTAGGTAATGGTACAAATATAACCAACCGTTCTGAGCGAGCTCATTTTTCGTCCGAGGGCCGAACAATCAACAACAACAATCACATGACTATTTATTTATATTTGCGTATTTGATATATTTGGCAAATAATCACCAGTGTAGATGGGATTTGTATGACAAAGTATTTGCCTATTCGACAAATCGTGTGAGATAGTGCAAAAGCGCGTATGTAGCATTGGTAAAAGACTCGGGTAGCAGGTAAAGCCAGGTAAAGGGTTTAAACGTTATTACTTTGTTTTTTGAATGGTTGCGACTGTAATTTTTGCATAGTAAGTATCAATTTATGTAATTTACTTTCCCATTCGTACACCCTGACTTACAGCAGTGCGAAAATGTATTCGTACGTGTTGACGCTGTGAAAAAGCCGCTGCAACCGCCTTACGATGGACCGTATCCTGTACTAAAAAGAGGCAACAAGATGTTCACAATCCAATTACCAGGACGTCAAGCTGTTATCTCAATTGACCGTCTGAAACCAGCTTACATTTTGAACGAGAGCAAAGAAGCCATTTCAAACCCCCAAGTGGACAAGATCGGGGCGAGTCGTAAAACCACCTGTGCGCTTCGCTTGAGGAGGAGCCCTGTAGCTGCGCATACGACATGCCATCGCAGCGCTCTGGCCGCACTGAATAGGAACGCGACGTGTCCGCATATTTTTGTATAAAAGCGTTACTCAGCAGCGCCACCGCGCCGCCACGGCACCACTGTCGATGCATGTCGTTGACTAGTCAGAGTATGTACTGTAGACTAGGCTGTACTCTTTGAGTAAGATTGCTGGCTGAACATAGGTAGTGTTTATAGTTTGTATTTGGAACGCTAAGAAAATAAGGAAGGATCTTGACATATCATAGTAAGATTATTGTTTCGTAACCCTACGCCAAAATTATGTAAAAAAGTGAAATAAAGTATAAAATTGAAGATTATTATAGTTTGAGTTTATAGAAATACCTCTCGCAATGCATCTGAGCTACAGCCCTCGATTATAAATGGTGGAGGCGCAGGATTCCGATGAAGAAAAGTCCGGTGTAGAATATTTTCATGTCTTGTTACGACACAACATCAAGAAAACGTACATAAGGTCGTAATATATATTTTTACTTTTTATTAGAAAATCGTTGTTGTGTGCTTGTGCACTTCGTAGTAGTTACCAGTAAGGTAAAAAAAAATAAATAAATTAGAGCTATACAATGAATCATACACCGGCACAGAAATTTTCGGGCCTAAATGATGTGGAAGAGTTTCTAGCCCAATTTGAAGCGATTAGTGTGATAAACAACTGGTCGGACGGGCAAAAAAGATACGTGATTGCGACGTATCTGGAAGGGCCAGCGTTGCAGTGGTATAAGACCCATTTTTCTGTATATGCCACATATGATGTCATAGCTCAAAAATTGAAGGAGCAGTTCCCCTCGCAGGTCGATTATGCTCAAGAATTTTACTATAGGCGGCAGAGGCCTAATGAGCCGCTTGTAGAATATTTTTACAATCTCGATAGTTTGGCAACGAAGGCAAAGATTGAAGATGATGGGAAATTCATAAAGCATTTCCTGAAATCTTTAGCCCCCAACTATCAGTGGGTACTTGCCAGCAGGTTGTTCGCGTCTAAAGACGAGCTAAGAAAAACCATAATACAAATGGAAGATGTATTTAATCGTCAGACAAGCTTAGAGCAACAGAGTATTGAATTACCAGTGTGTATTTCAAAAGATTATCCTCACTCTTGGCAAGCACAAGGGGATCCTTCACCCGTTGGTGGATCCGTCGTTACTTATTCGAACTATCAAACGCCACAAACGCCGGACACGGCCGTCGTTCCGTTTGATATGCAGCGAAATACGCCACGCGGAAGATACAACTTGAGGCCGCGGCATGTATATTCACATGCTCAAGGTAGTGGTTCTTCGACGAGTTATCCCCAACGTCGATTTAATCAAGGCACAACTGCTCATGCAAGAGGCGATCACCCAAACGCACCGCCACGCCGATAGATAGCCGGGATAGTCGGACGTGGAATGCGGAGCCGGCGTGTTTGAAACAAAGATTGTGTGTAGTCGATAAGTGTAGTGTAAATAGGGCACCCTTTATAACTATTTGTATAAATAATGTAGATTGCGAGGCCTTGGTGGATACTGGTGCTTCTGTGTCAATAATCTCACAATTGTTTGCAGATAAATTGAATTTGCAGTTCGAAAAAACGCCGAGTTTTCCTTTGCGCACAGTAGGTGGTACGCGAATAATTGTACAAGCGTCCACCAATGTTTCGTTGGTAATACAAGGAAACAAATATCAGTCAAAGCTGCTTGTTGTAGATGATGGTGATGAGCTCCTTATTTTGGGACAGGACTTCCTAACGGTAAATGGTGCGGTAATTGATTTTGCAGCCTCGAAGCTAATCTTAAAAAGAAATGTTGAAATTCCTTTCAATTCTGTCTCTGACGTCACTTCAAGGAGAAAGAACTGTTGTTCTATTGAACCAATTTTGAAAAGTCATAAAACCTGTTCATTAAACAAATCTGAATATTTATATTTCGTTAATTTATTAGATACGAATGGTGACCATATGTTTAATGTTTCGAATAGAAAAAAAATAGAATTTAATATTGATAATGCATTACAGGAGAAAAGGCGCGATGAATTAAAGCAGTTGTTATTAAAGTTTCGCGATACGTTCTCTTTTGCGCCAGGCGAATTAGGGTGTTATAATCACTCATTAGTTGAAATTAATACCTCCGATGAGGAACCGGTGCATAAAATGCCATATCGTGTCTCCCCTAAACAGAGACAAATTATTGAGGAACAAGTAGAGGAAATGTTAAAATATGGCATAATTCAGGAATCAAAAAGTCCATATGCTTCACCAGTAGTTTTAGTGGATAAACCAGAAGGGCCACCGAGATTTTGCATTGATTATAGGGCCTTGAATAAAAAAATTAAAAACGATTCATACCCTATTCCGAGAGTAGATGATTTGTTAAGTTGTTTACAAGGTGCAAAATATTTTGCAGATTTAGATATGAACTCGGGTTATTGGCAGTTAGGTTTAGGAAAAGGGAAGGAAAAAACTGCCTTTGTTACACATACTGGCCTATATGAGTTCAATGTGTTACCTTTTGGCTTGAAAACAAGTCAAGCGGTGTTTCAAAGAGCTATGGATAAGGTGTTAGCAGGCATGAAATATCGTAATGTGATAGTCTATGTAGATAATATATTGGTATATGCAAGTACCTTTCAGGAATTTAAAATTGCATTAAAGGAGGTTTTGATTCGTTTGCGGAATGCGCATTTGACTTTAAAACCATCTAAGTGTCGTTTCGGTTTTCAGAAGGTGACTGTGCTGGGACACGAAGTGTCGGCCGAGGGAATAGGACCGGATAGTAGGAAAGTTGCGGCGATGAAGGAGATAAATCCTCCATCTAGTCTGAAAGAAGTGAGAGCTGTTTTAGGATTGTTCTCTTATTATCGAAAGTTTATTGATAATTTTGCTAGATTGGCGCTTCCCATCACGAATTTGACGAAAAAGGACAAGGCGTTTGTTTGGACAAAGGAGGCGCAGGAGGCATTTGAAGTGTTAAAAGATAGGATTTGCAAGGCGCCTGTTTTAGGACATTTCTCGTCAGATAGTGAACAGGTGACGCGGTTATATGTAGACAGCAGTGGTTATGCGATTGGAAGTTGTTTAATGCAAGGTGTGAAAGAGTTGAAACCTATAGCTTATGCCTCGAGGAAGTTAAGTGAAGCAGAGAAGAAATATTCTGTTACAGAGAAGGAATGTTTAGCGCTTATATGGGCGTTGAATTATTTCAAAAGTTATTTGTGGGGACTTCGTTTTCAGGTGGTTACTGATCATCGGGCGCTTGTTTGGTTAAAAAGTAAGAGAGATATGAGTGGGAGATTAGCTAGATGGGCGTTATCGATTCAAGGTTGGGATTTCGATATTGTTTATTGCAGGGGTAAGGACAATGTTGTCGCAGATTTCTTGAGTAGGAATCCGTTGTTGGAGGACGTAGAGTCGAGAGTGGAGCGTATACCGGAGCAGAGAGACGAGTTAAGGTTATATGTTTTACGTGCGAATGATGTCCAGAGTAAACAGGAGGCAGATGAATTTTGTAGAAATATTATTAATTGTATTCGTTCAGGTGTTGGTGATAATTATCGAGGCTTCTTTTTACAGAATGGAATCCTTTTTAAGAAGTGTAGTTTGAATCAAAATTTAGTTGATTTAGTGGTCGTTCCGTCGGAATTATTTTCGGAATGTATGAAGGAACTGCATGATAGTGCTTGGACGGGCGGACATTTTGGTTTGTTTAAAACTTTTTCAAGGTTTAGACAGAGGTATTTCATAGTGAATGCTGAAAAAAAGATTGAGTCATATGTCAAAAGTTGTCAGTTGTGTCAGGAGCGCAACATAAATAAAACGATTGCACCATTGGTTTCTATTCCCGTGAATAATATTTTCGAGCGTGTAGGAATTGATGTTTTAGGCCCATTCAATCGTTCAGATAGAGGCAATAAATATATAATTGTGAGTATAGAATATCTTTCGAAATATGTAGTGTGCAGGGCCGTACCCAGGGTGACAGCGGAAACAATTTGTGAATTTTTGGTGTCCGAGATATTTTGTAGATACGGCGGAGTAAAACAAGTTTTAAGCGATAGAGGATCGGTATTTACTTCTCATTTGGTAGAGGAGACAGCGCGAGATTTTGGAGCGATTATGGTGCATACTACGGCATTCAATCCCAGGTGTAATGGTTTATGTGAGAGATTTAATAGGACGCTGTTAGGAATGTTAGCGAAATATATAGGAAGCGAACAAAGGAATTGGTGTAGCATGTTACCATTGATGTGTTTTGCTTATAATTCTAACAAACATAGCAGTACCGGGGTGTCACCATATATGGTATTGTTCGGTAGAGAATCCTTATGTGCGTCAGATATGGAATTAGGGATTAATTGTGTCAATGTTGCGGAGAACCTGCAAGATAAAATTGCAAAACAAGCAGCGTTGATTGAGGTAGTTAAGGAACGAATAGTGAGGGCGCAGATAAAACAGAAGCGAAATTATGATAAGAAGGCAAAAATGGTTGTGTATCAGCCAGGGGACTTGATAATGTTATATTGTCCTAGGAGAATTTCTAATAGAAGTATGAAATTAGCTAGATTATTTAAAGGGCCATATAGAGTAGTAGGTCGATTAAGTAGGGTTAATTATATTGTAAGAAAAGTAGATGTAAATAGGAATAGATTGTGTAGGCAGGATCTAGTCCATGTGAATAGGATGAAAAAGTTCTTTAGGAGATAATTTAATGTTTTCTTGTTTTCTATTAGGTTAATTAATCGTTTATGTTTTCTTTTCATGTGGAACGGTATCGACCTTATGAGAAATATTTGGAGTAAAATTAATATTTTCCTGTACATGCAGACTTGGAAGGAAGGGAGGAGAGGATACACCATCAAATAGATAACATTTACTTTTGTTTTTCTTATATATATTTTTTTAATTTGGTAGATATATTATCCTGTATGTGCGAATAGTTCCTGCTCATCCCTCCAGTTGATCAAGGACTGTCTGCATTCTGGGAAAATATATTTATTTAATTATTAGAAATTCTTCATGTGGTATACCCTCATACCATATGTATGTCTGAGGACATGTAGTTAGAATATGTTGTTGACGTTATACGTGGGTTGGTTCTTGTTGTTTAAGGATGACAAGTGAAGCTGATGGAACGTGATAGCTGCAAAATGAGGACTAAGGCAGCTGGGAGATCAATAGTGATGTAACCCAGTGATCGTCCGATGGATGTTCAAGCCTGTGTCGTCGTTGTGGCAGCATCCACGTTGGAGATAGCTTAGGCTGAGATAGTTAGGAACTTGTAGTGATGTTTAGAATTTTTATTAGGATCGTTCAGCCAGTTTAGGGTCGCTAAAATAAAGTGTTAGGGTTTAGTCAGGTTCCCTAATTAGATAGGATAGCTAACTAGTGAAAATATTTTGATTTGTTTGTTTAGGATGTGATCATGGTCTGTCCTTTTAGATAGGTTTTTGGCAGACCAAAGCCATAGCCTCCTCGGTGGTTTACTTGTTGGTAAGTTAGTGACTTCCAAGCAGTGTGTGGCTAGCCTGTAGTGAAGGCTGATCGCAGATGTAAGTTGCCTATCATAGGTAGACCATCAGCTAGGGATATTCGCCCCTTCAGCTGTGAGGAAGAGGGATGTAGACTAGGCTGTACTCTTTGAGTAAGATTGCTGGCTGAACATAGGTAGTGTTTATAGTTTGTATTTGGAACGCTAAGAAAATAAGGAAGGATCTTGACATATAATAGTAAGATTATTGTTTCGTAACCCTACGCCAAAATTATGTAAAAAAGTGAAATAAAGTATAAAATTGAAGATTATTATAGTTTGAGTTTATAGAAATACCTCTCGCAATGCATCTGAGCTACAGCCCTCGATTATAGTACTATATGCGATTAGATATAAGGTACTTCTGTAGGGTAATAAACATGAAATATATGCAGTCATCAAATCAACCAACTCGGACTTTTCCTGCTTACCTGCTCAGCTCCCCTAAAGATTGATAACAAATAGATTCCAATAATCAGGTTAATTTGGTTGCCACAACGTTTACGTGGATTTGATTTGGCCACTAACTTACCGAAATGGCAACTTCATATGCTTGTTAAGCGTAATTGCATTATCCCGGACGAAATACTGGAAACACCAAAAATCGCGTCACAGCGCACTAGCTGGTTTCTCGATACACGTCAAAAGAGACAAATACGCAAGTAAACCGTCCACACTATGATCGATCATATTCATTAGTTTACCTTTATTTATCTTCATGTGTGGACGGTCATATTTGCCAGTGTCTGTACGTCAAATATTTTTCCATGTACATCAAACACCCAATAGCGAATACAAGCCATGTGAAGTGCCCCCACTAAATGGGGACGATAATCCTCCTTTTCAAGGTGCAGATAAAGTGTGAGCCAAAAGAACTCACCATAGCCAAAAACCGGTAGATGTAGCAAGGTTTCTTCTGACCGAACCGGTAGACTCGGAATATGCTCTGCACATCGTGCGAAGGGTTCCAGGAGACGTCGAAGATGACGACGCGATTGGCCGCCACCAGGTTGATACCAAGTCCGCCAGCACGCGTCGATATTAAGAACAATCTATCACGAAAATTCAACCATAAGTTCGAGTCGCAAAATGTCAAATAATATGTTGCACTGCTATTACAATAGTATTATAACTCAAAATATGTGAAATTCAAGATTATACCATTGTTGAACGTAAAATTTGATTCTCTACAGGTCAATAAAGCCGTGGTTAGAAAATTGCAAAAAACAACTAAAAATGTCTACTTAACTCAAAATGAGACTCGCTTTATGTGAGCATGTTCCGGCCAAAATAGTCCTTATTCAGTAATATAATGAAATTATTTTTCCTCTTTTATTTTTAAATATGTATATTTGGCAAGTAGGAAATAACCTATAGTTAAATTTACACAGATCTTTCACGAGAAACGCGTAATTCATTTTTCGTCGATTCTGAGAAAATACACTTTTTGAGTTAATACACTATTGTAACAACAGTGCGATGTATCGACTTAAGCAATCATTGTTTACTATTAGTATTCATCATCTTCAACCCATTATTATGGTTTAGGTGGTCCCAATAGTCGCTAAATTCCCTGCGCGTCCATTATAATAACGTTTTCAGGATGATGTTGAGACTGCTCCGGTATTGCAGCGCCTCCGGGATGTTTGCGTTGGCCAATACAAATTGATTTCATGCCGTCTTGCGGAAAAAAGTACCATCGTTTGTTAGAAGTTTCCGGGGGGAGAATCAACAGCAACGCACACACTCAACAACAACGCACACACTCAACATAGCCCCGCACTAGGGAAACCCTGTGTCGCGGGTGCCATGGACACATACATAGACAAACACAAATTACACCCAAACTCACGAGAGAAATAAATGTAGGCCATACAAATATTTCTCCCGGCCCGGGAATCGAACCCAGGACCTCTGCGTGTCAGTCCGGCATGGTAACCGTTCGGCCACGGAGGCAGTTAAACATTCTGCAGCATTCTGAAGGTTGTGGCAGAGGACCACAGAGCGCCTGTACTGAGGCATCTCGCACGGACAATGATTTCGCACGAGATGCCTCGTAACTACATGACATTTTAGATTTTAATTAATTAAATAATATGTTATATAATATTCCTACTAATAATAGCTTATATATTTTTTCTATTATATTAACACCAATGGATCCTGTTAACTGAAAATTTAATATTACAATTACATCCCACTGCTGGGCACGGGGTTTACGCCGTTAGGGACATTACACATTATCCAAAAGTTTTGAACCTCCTTCGATATAAAGGTTTCATACCCGCATACATACTCGTATTGAAGGGGAAACACAATAGCCGATTCCATTTATCGATTCTATAATATCAATCTCTATGGAAAAATATTCTGTTATACAAATCAAGTTGAGGTAATTTATTATAACAAATTTACAATGTCTTTTTATAAGCTAGCAATAACATGCAACGTAAACATTTTAAACGTCATAGTACCCGTCCCGTGTGAAATGGATTACAGTATACCTCTAGTAACTGCCAAGGACAACATCGTGATGAAACCGGCACGTAGAAGATTTGAAAAAAAAAACCTGAATTATCTACATAAAAAGTACACTACAAATATATATTTTTTTTTTCCTTGTGATTTTATGTGTTAATAAATATGTGTTTTCAATTATTTTTTGTGGTGGTGGACATTGAAATTTTTTTATGACCCTCAGGAGACCCATGCCCATCAGTGGGACATATAAATGGGTTGAAGATGATGAGTAGAAATATGTAAGTAATATGTGGATGTACGTCAACGTAGCTTACCTAGCCCTAGGATTATCTTCTCTGTTGAAGTTCTTGCACCAAATGGATCTGTTCTCGCAGGAGGTGGAACCGTCCAGTCTGAAGTAGTCCACGCCCGGCGACCATGATCCTAATTAAAATATTTCAACACATTATTAACTAAAAAAAGTTATGAAAACATTTTTTCACTATATGCCCGTTTTATCACGAACAGATGAAGACGAGGCCGCGTTGCCACCGCACAGCGACCGCGTGCTAATAGACACGTCATGGCAAAATACGCCCTATTTATTTAGCATTTAAGTTTTAACTTAAATGAGCGTCCCGACCGCGCGGTTGTATTATTCAGAGGAATTTAAATGTTGTTGACTAGTAAACAGATTTCAGATTCGCCATTAATGTACGCGAAGGCGTGGTAACTGGGCGGTCGCCGTGCAGCAGCCGAGTGAAAACTTTCGGCTTTTGTATCTGGGCGCTTACGTGTCACAAGTCTTATAATATCACATTTGGTACCTTCTTAATGCGATGTTATACGAAACGCGACATTATAATTATTTTACTTTTATTTCGTCCACTCCTTTTTGCTATTTATTTTGTAAGACTATTGGAAGTCGATATACGTGTTTTGCAATTTTAGTTTAGGTCAAAATTGTAACTTACGTCATTTAAGTGCTATAAGTGACGAATAGACATGAGACGGTACAAAGTAATCTAAGAGAAGCAATAAGGAATTGCTAAAACCATAATATGTCGATGTACTTACCGACGTGCCCTCCTAATTTCTCGTCGATCCTGCCGTCTTGCGTCGCCTCGTCAACTTTGCCTAAGAAATGCTCGATCAGGTCTAATGAATAGAGCGATTGGGAAAATACCAGCCTGAAATAGACAAACGAATATTTTAATAATATATATAGATATATCGTCACTCGAAAGGCGAAATTACTAACCTTCAAAAGGACACAACAGGGCTTTAGTACTTTCGCCTTTGCAGCGAATATACATATATATTCTTAATAAACTCGTAGACATTATACATATAAATATGCGGCAACAATAATTTTGCAAGGAAGTTAAATACATTTACATATAATGTGGAATATCCTGAAGACTATGTTTCAATACCTAATGGTATAAGATAGCGCTGACTACGGAAATGCATGTTCATATCTTTTTCAATATTTATTTAAATGCACTCACTAGACTAAACTAGATTAACCGTTTTTTTTAATAATATGGGCGTGCACATAAGGATTTAATAAATCGGTCAATCATTTAAACACGTTCGCAGTTATTTGGGTCAATTTAAATAATAATAATTATAATAAAAAGTAACTAGCTGTCAAAAATCAGACAATGAAGTCAGGGATTTGTCATTTGAAAATTCGGACACTGTGTGTACTTTTTATTAGTAAATAAGTTGTTTAATTGTTTTTTATTTTTATATTAATGGCTTTGCATTCCCTTTAAGCAAATCAAAAGGTTAGAGAAACTCATACAGACATACATTACAGAGTATGGAAAAAATACGGAATTCTAATGAAAAAGGATGTGGTAGATGAGTAGGTAATAAGTATCAGCGTACATGTTAAAGCTTGGTATTACTATTTTCGATAAATAAGGACATAAACAGCGTAAGTTTCTCTCTCATAGACACTCTGGGGCGCCGTTTGTAAATTGCCCTGGCGGCGCGGTTTTTTATACTTTATGCAACACCATTTGTGAACGTCAAAATTTGAAACAGAATATTTCGAAAATTTTCGTATAAGACTTTCTAATTCAGCCAGATAGAACAGGTGGAATAGGGAAATTAATTAATAAATTTACTTACACTTTATCGCCAATGGCTTCGCATTGCCTAAGTATTTCGAAAAGCAGCACGAGTTTGTGCGAGTTGCGCATATCCTCGATCTCATCTTCGGTCACCATCGGGATCCACCACTCTGTCGGGTTCTCATTTTTCACTTCCACTATGTCGGGGTCTGCGATATCTTCCTCTGCTTGTTCAACTGTACAAAATTACAATCAATCAATCAAATAATTTATTTGCTAGAAACGTGCTCGTCACATGATTACATTAAATTATAACTATAATTAATTAATTATAATTTAAACCAACAATTCCAATATAAATAACATTATAGTACACAAATATACTGCGAATAAATAAAAAGGGAGTGAAGTAAGTTTTATAAATTTCTCACAAGTGGTACTGACAGGATAAAAAAGATCCGCAACAAGCACAGAGAAATTCGTCAGATCTGCCGACTTGTCTGAAACTCTGCTGGTAAAAGCGGACGCTCCGGTGTGGCAATAAACTCTGGTTCGAGTCCAGTCATATATCAAAGTAATTTTTGTTTGCGTTGTTTTTCCATCTTTGTATCAATAATAATAAAAAAAATTGCTAAAGATGCTGAACAAAAATGCGTCTTAAGAGCGCTTGCGCACTACGTTCGATTATTATCAGGGGGTCTACTCTCGATCTCCGTCCGAAACAATTACTGCCAAATAAGCAATACTTGATAAAATGAAAAGACGCGTGCCGCGAATGAAGCTTCATACTTGATACTTGTCTTTTCATTTTGTCGAATATTACTTATTTGACAGTAATTGTTTCGGACGGAAGTCGGACGGAGATCGAGAGTAGACCCCCTGTTCCGAATCCGAGAAATGACGGTCCGAAATGTCACAGGTATCCAAAGTGTCATTTCATCTTTAGGTGTACAAGCGATATTTGTATTTTCTCGGATTCGACATCCAAAGTTTTCTAAATTTGTGTAGTCTTGGATTCGGAACGAATACGAATCGTGCGGATACTAAACGGAACGCAAGAGCGCCACCTGGCGGTGTGCGGACCACCCTACACAAGTGGGTTTCCCGCACTACGACAGAGTCGTGACGTTGTTGGCGGACACAATCGGACACTTTTTTCCATGGTCGCCATACAGAGTAGTCGTCGTCACGGAACTGTCCTCCGTTTCGCCTATTGCCCATTTTGATCGTTAAAATTAATAGAAAGTACAAGGTCTTGTTCGATTTCAAAGTGATTAAAATATACAGTGTTACTTTAAACGTAATCGCATTGCACGATTCCTAAATCTGCCCAAACGATGTCTCAAGATTCAGAGTTCCGACATATATTTTTGTATTGCACAGTTTCGATGATATAGCAAGTAATGCGTGGTATTTACTTGGGTTCGCGCGTGTGCCTCGACGTGGGGCGTTTTTGCGATCTTTGTTTTTCTTAGCGGACTTCTTCTTCTTGCTCTTCTTGCGACTGTCGTCGCTTACGTCCGATACGTCTGACGTCGAATCTTCCGATGAGCTTTCCTGTCATACGAAACAACTTATGTTAGACGCCATATCGACACCAGCAATCAACCATATGCTAACTTAAAAATTGCAATTTTTCACTTGCGGTAAATACCTATTGTTACTAGAAGTCATTCATAATAGGTTATAAAATATATGATTATTATTATTTTCTTCGTTTTGCTAAATAATTAGGCATGAAAAGACAAAATCGACTAAATTCAAGTTAGCATTGTGTTTGTTGTGTGTCGATGTAGCCTGCGTAGAATTTTTATTTTTAATTCCTGGGGCCTAAAAGGCCGCACTATGTCGCTATGGAGGTCTCCATAGAACACTGTGAAATAGACGAATTACGTTTTTTGTTTTATTTGAAAATTCATAATATGATTATGATTCTGCCAATGCGACCTTTTTAAGCCCCTTCTTCACCACAAAAGTGTCAAAAACAAATGGACGTATGTGACTAATGCGAGTGAAGAAAGTGAAATAAATATATCAAGAGCGGCTACTAGTGACGCGGTCGATGTGGCAGAGTTCTGGGACACACTATTATGATGTATGCCATCAATACGATAAGAACACAGAGCGACTCGAGCGATTACATAGATCATATTCTCTGCCTACCCCATTGGGAGACAGGCGTGATGGTATGTTTATTACTGGTGTTAGTTGAGATATTAAAAACCTGCTATTAGATGAACATTCAGGATTTAAGACATATTGTTTTTTATTATTGATTCATATGTTCTTTTCGTAAAATCCAAACGAACTGTTCAGAGTTGAAGTTGGACAGCCAGGTAGAGCCTTAGAGTGTATTTTTTGCCCTGGTACTCACTATACAGGGCATTCCTTATTTTGAGACCAGGTAATTGTTGAGGTAATTAGGGCACAAAAGCATTTTACTTACGTCTGGCGTAGAATCGTCATCAATAAAATCAACTAGAGATCCTTCTGAGTCTTCTTCTTCTCTCTCCCTCTGTTACACAAAAAGAGAAATGCATTTATAAAATGTTTTAAAATATATTTATTTATTAAATAAGGAACTGGAAGGTGTGACGTACCTTTTTTTGCTGCATAATCTCGTATCTTTCGGAATTGTACTTGAGCACGAGCGGATGCGTCCATATCCGCTGCAGGGACTGGAAGTCCGGGAACAGGAACCCCGAGGACTTGCCCGCCAGTGGTCTGGCAGAAGACAAATTGTCCATCAATTGAACATTCAATTAAACAATCCACTATTAATGCATGATTGTTGGGCACGGATATTGTCTAAGGAGATTTTTTAGATCCTAGACCGCCATGGTCAACCAATTCGGTTTAAGAACTTTACGACGTTTTCCAGGGGTTGTTAACTGACATGCAGTTTTCATCACAATATTTTCCTGCACCGTTAGTTAGATTATTTTTCAATAAAGGAGAATTAGAATATTCTCCAATCGAGGAGTAAAACTAGGGTTTTTATTTTATAAAAACCTTAAATTCATTTATAATTAATTGTGGTGTATTGGAACACCTTTTTCTGCAATTTATGGTTGGTTCCGTATCCTTATGTCATTCTAGTATCATCCTCGAGTCGTGTCTAATAGACTTTAGGGTCGTATTCCAGAACTCTACTCAATACTCCAGTCAGGACTTGAGTATTGCAGTGAGCACTGAAAATCATACTCAAGTCTGCTCAAATCCTGACTTGAGCATTGAGTAGAGTTCCGGAATACGACTCTTAGAGTCATTGACCTACCAATAAATGGACGTCGGGTTCGCGCTAAAAAGTGTCCGCACCTATAGCGCGTTAAAATCGCATACAGAGCGGTAATCGTGCAACAGTCTTCATTTGTTCAAGTGAGAGCGCAGTTGTTAATCATGCAGTACCATATAATAATAACTTGTAAAAATTACTGCCGTAAAGTGTAAAAACAGAATTTTTTATCATATTGTCACTAAACAAATATATTGTGTTGTCATAGTTCTCATTTAAAAGTTTTATTTTGTACAGTTTTGTCGTATTTAATTTATATATAAATGAATCGTAAATATAAATTACAGAAGCACACAAAATAATCCAATAGCTAACTGCCCTTTTTCTACACATTGCATGCGCAAAAGATGGTAAGAGACCCATTACGTCAATTTCAAGAAGCTTATATAAACTTTTTGGTCATTTTCAATTGTTCGAACCACAAGCGATTGACATATTTAGAACAAAGAAACTATAGAGTCGCTTTGATTTTAATCTTATTTAAAAAAATATTTTTTATTAATGGCGTTTAATTCGAGCTAACGAAATAAAATGTCAAATGTATTTTTTTAGGAAGATTAAAAAACTAAACTAAATCGGTTTTGGAATTACGGTTTACGTTTAGTTGGAATATCAGTACATTTCTTATAATACACGCTTACTTTCACATTTGTAGTAATACTTGTATGTTTGGATCTGCCCAACTCTTTATTATTTCTTTAAGTGAATTTGCACAAAATTTGACATAATAATATATATAAAAATTCATTAATATTTACGATAAAGGCTACTCCATTACTCTTGTGTTCTAGTAATTTTCAGTCGATGCTAAATATGGTGCATTTTGTTAAATTTCCAGTAGAAGCTGAGTATGGTGTTTTTGGGTCCTTAAATTGTTTCAAGCAAAATTAGGCAGTACTGCAATGACGTTACAATTTAAATGAAATGTTTTAGTTTTTTATATTTCGTTACATGTCACTCTGTTTGTATAGGTTAACTTCGAACATTTTTTTCGTGGTTTTTGTATTAGACCCGACGTCCATTTGTTGGTAGGTCAATGCTTAGAGTGCTAAGTATTAAGTTTCGTATATACAGGGTGTCCGGTAGAGAATGGATAAACCTGAAATGCCTTATGGTAAACTTTAAGAACGTTGAAAAAAAATATTAAAAAAAATATATCCCATGTAGTACTTAAGATATGTTTTTTTTTCTTTAAATTTAATTATTTTCACCTTATTTTACGTTTTTGTACACCACGACTACAAGTTAATCAATTCCTTCGGGTTTTTTGGTGTCATAACATTCTACATTAACTGTGCTAATAGATAGGCAGTAAATAGTATGACTAACTATGGCACTTAAATTTAAAAATAAGTATTATTTCATTTTTTTTTTACAAACTTTAAGCATCTTTGATAAAAAAAAAATTATGATAACCTGAGTGGCCAACTATTCTAAAATAATGTGTATTTAAAGTAGATTTCAAATTAGTATTCATTATTGTATCTAATATAAATTAATAAACCCTGTATCGCGGGTGCCATGGACACGCAGGTAGACAACCGCAAATTTCACCCAAAAGCACGAAAGAAATAAATGTAGGCCATACAAATACTTCGCCTGGCCCGGAAATAGAAACCGGGACCTCTGCGTGGCAGATCAACATAGTAACTACTAGTTGGGAAAATGAGAATCGGGAAAAGAATAACTTACCAATGTGTCAAAATAGTGTAATGAAATAAAAACGTAACGTGTTTTCGGATAAATGAAACAAAATCTGTTCAATAAAAACAGAAATCTAGCTTGTGTTAGGTAACCGTCAGCTATACCCAAAGACGAATTATTGTCTTTGCCTTTGTACTGTTTCCGTGTTGATTCGTGTTTTCACTTACCTTCTCGAGTAGTTGTCCAAGTAATGTTGGTACAGTTTGATCTGTACTTCTGTAAGCGTTATGAACAGCACGTATTCATGCTTCGGAGGCAGGAACGGCGCTAGCACGCTGTAATCCCGTCTCTGTACAAAATACAACAAAAGTGTGAATCGCTTTTAAAAAAGAACAGTCTAAATGAGTGTAAATTGTTGTTCGAAAGCTAAAACGAAAATTACTGTTAAAACGTAACTGTCTAAATGCTAGATTAATAAAATAATTATAACTTGCTACAATTATTAATACAAACATCGAGCGCTGAGATAAAATTCCATCGATCCGGCCGGATTCGAACCGACGTCTTAATTAATTTTTCTATGTGCTTGTTGTAGGATCTTTGTATTTGGTTTTTCAACGTCTTGACAAGAACAAGCACATAGAAAAATTCGTGAGGTCCGCTGGTTCGTTCCCTGGCATGGCATAGCGTTCGGCGCGGTTTGTTCGATGACGTCGGTTTGAATCTGGCCGGATCGACGGAATTTTTTATAAGTGTTAGATTTTTATATTAATAATTACAACAAATTAGTGGAGTAATTTCACAAAAAAATAATTGAATATCAATTCAATACAAATTTTAAAATAATTATAACTTCTTTACAAATAAAACAGATTCTATTTATCGATTCTATGGTGTCAATCTGTAGGCACAAATATTTAGTTTTACGCATCAAGTATTTGGGGCAATTTATTTTTATCTTTATCATTACATTTTCTCTCTACTTCACATACCGTAATTTTTACTTAATATTACAACTGCAACAAATATTGTTTGTTTTTGATATATTGTAACAAATTTACTATTTATTTTTGTAACCTGGTTGACAGATTACTAAAAAATAGTATGTGTGTAATGGTAAATATTGGAAATGTCACCATACTAATCCTGTGTGAAATGGATTATAGTGGAGTATATTTTTTTAAATATTTGAAAATTATGGTAGTGAAATTTTTTTTTTATTATACCAAGCAACGCGACGTACAAGTCGTGCGCCTGGTGGGAAGGCTCCATTTATATTACGTCGTAACGAAATGGAAGCGGAATTTTCGCGCATTCCGCGGAAGACTATGGTTCGTATCTAGCTTGTGCGTTACACAATTGACGTTCATTATGCTGTGTACAATATCGTTACAAAAATTCGCTTCCATTCCGTTCCGCGGCAATATAAATTGAGCCTAAGCGACACGCCTATCCATAACAGTTGCAGTGTCATTCAGAGCTTTAAATAGCAAAGATCTTATGGGCACAGCCACTGCGCCCGTCAACCTGAGACATAAGTAAACAATCGTTCAAAATATACCAGTCCCTTCGATACCATGGACGTTGCAATACGTCCGAAGCGTCGAGGTGATTAAAATATGTTTTATACGTGATTAAGTCTCGAATTAAAAATCAAATAATGTGTGAAAATTGTGAAAGATTTAATCAAAGAATTGTTCAAAAATTATCAGTGTTAATTACTGTAAAAAGAACAGAGCGCTATGTGTAAACGTAAACTACTATAGAAACTGAAATGAGGACCGACTGTTACCTGGACTGCGCCATCCAGCATCTTGTGCAGGACGTGCGACCGGCGCTTCATGACGCGGATGTCCTGCTCCGTGGAGTCGGTGTACTGCCCATTCGTGATCGGGTTCACGAACCTGTTCAGGTACTCGTTGTACTTGCCCAGCAGGTTCGGCTTCACGAACTGCACCATGCAGTAGTCTGGACAAGAGCAAAGTTCACAAATTAAATACTATAACGCAGTAATAACCCGCACTCGAAACGAGCAAAATTTTGCCTCGCCTCTCGCGTTTCGTACCACAAGATGGCGGAGACCCCCGTTCGCGTCTCTCGCGCCGTACTAGTTTTTTTTATCATAGACTGACATGTAGCAATAAAATTCGTGTAACAACTTCAATATTTCCGTGATTAAAGTGTTTTTAACATTACTGGAGTTTTACAATAGTCATTTCTGGATATGCCAAAGATTCGCACGGAGCGTCACGCTTCCACATTTATATGGCGGACGGCTATGGAGGGAAAACCCTTCCTGCAGACTGGTTCGCTTATTATTATATATATAAGGTTATTTTTATTTTATTTTATTCGGAACAACAACAGCTATAAATATCGATTTACAATGATTTTTTTTACGCACACACTGATAGCCCCGCACTAGGTAAACCCTGTATCGCGATTGCCAAGGACACACACATAGGTAGACAACCACAAATTACACCCAAACTCACCTTGTTACAATAGAAATAGCATAAAATATACATTGATAAATTTAACGTCCTCTGCCTTGTCGCTGGCCGAATTATAAGGACACTTATGGCCCAATGAATCCGACTGTTGCCCCAGTTGGACTTGGATTAGTTCATACTTTCCCAGAGTGGTCCCTACCAGTCCAGTGGGCGCTGAAGAGTCCTTGTAGGGGCCTCGGAAGAAATTGGGGGGCGTTGATGCGGTTCAGGGGGTGCTACCGCATTTGACAAAAAAAAACTGACTTACCTATATAAACTACATTAGAAATACATACATTTTTCCTTGTGATTTTTGTGTTAAGTTAATATAAAAAATACGTGTTTTTTTGTTTTTTTACGCAAATTTTTTTTTATCTTGCCTAAGTGGGCAGTGAGCTAACAATTTAGGGAACCTGTGATCTAGATGTTACACAACACGATTTTATTCAATAAATCCACAAGATAACTCAACCAGATAGGAAAATATTCTTAAAAAGGTGAAAAGTAACAAAAATAAACGGTAAAAATATTGTATTGTCATTTGTTTATTTAAAATCCGTGATAATGAGTAGTAAAGTGAAACTACTTTTCCGGATTTAAATCGCGTATAATTGTTTTTTCAAACAAACCGACGTTTCGGGCCCTTTACAGGTCCCAACGTTACAGTCAACCGTGACCATGGGACCTGTAAAGGGCCCGAAACGTCGATTTGTTTGAAAAAACAAATATACGCGATTTAAATCCGGAAACTTAGTTTCATTTCCTATGTGTAACAATCGCGAAAACCTAAGAACTCGATGAGTAGTAAAGTGTTTAAACAACTCTAGTTTTGATTATTTAGGTTTAACATCTCCTTTATTATCATTTTTAAGATTTTAGCAGTCAATATCGTAGCAATCAACATAATAAAGGTAGGCAGTAAATTTCGTCGTATTATGTTACCAATTTCCTCACTTATACTATTACGTTCTACGGCACAATACTAGCAAAGGCTTCGTAGTCCTTGGTGGCTCAATCATTGACCCATTTGATTTGTTTGGTTTGTTCAAACTTGTTTTTCTATTTTAAGTGTATAGCAGTACAAACTAAAGTTGGATTCAGAGTGTGCCCAAATAGTGGCAATTACAATGATACCTTCGATGAAATAATTTCCAGACTGAAAAAGAACATAACATACATTCCTTCAAGTTGTTCTGCAGCGGCGTCCCGGTGAGCACGATGCGACGACGCGTCTTCACGCGATTCATCGACTGCGACAGGCTCGTCTTCTCGTTCTTCAGCAGGTGACCTTCGTCGCACACCACCATCTCTGGACCTGGTTTCCGTAAAACATTATATTGTCATATAATTTTTTTTCTTGATAGTGTCACCATAGACAGAGTCATTGACAACTTTATCTTTATTTGTACAAAAATTGTCTTGTGGAATCGAAGCTCCGAAATTTCGATCACTGCAGAAATGTTGCTTGTTAATCTGATTTTGTATAAGATACATTTCAGGGAGAATGTGACCACATGCACCATGTTTTCTGTCGTTGAAATACCACTCAATGGCACTTGGCGCTTCGTATCCTCTTTAATATGAAAATCTACGAGGTAATAATGTAAAAACCCTAGCAAAAATCGGTCACTACTTTCAATAATAGGCTTGAAAATAATCCAAAGCGCCATGCTGCAATTTTAAAGATTCAATTTCTTCTACAGAGAATCTGAACGTCGATTGCCATTGGCAAAACTCAATTCTTGCTCTATCGTTTCGTACCCTTATTGGTATGAAAAAGCGACCTATTCCACTAGTCCCTACCAGCTATCCCTTCTGGTGGGGACAAGTGGATTTATTTTCCACTCTTCCCTACCACACCGTCCCTGGTTAGGATAAGTGAAATTTAATTTCCACTTATCCCTCATCAACTCAAAATCAACAAACTTAAAAGTTATACTCCAGTTTCTATGCGCATGTTGTGTCCATACGTCAAAAGTGCTCTTATCTTATGAAAGTCTTAAAAACACTGCAAACTACATAAAACAAATTATATATGTGAAAATTTATAAGTCTTCTATAAAAAAGTATCGACTAATTGGATTTTTTGTTCGTAGAATTTTTATACCTCTCTCCTGACCATTTGTAATTTTCTAGATGTGGCCTTATTACTCCAATGGCACACCATCTTATGGTTCAAAAGTAAATTACTGTCATTATCGATGTTTCAGTATAAAGAAAGCAACTAACCGGGATCAACGAGGCTCTCCTGGAACTGGCGGAGCATTTTCTTCTTGAACTTCTTGTTGCTGTCCGATGAGAGGTTGCGGAACATCTCGTAGCCCAGTACGCACACGCCGCCGTGCGTGAACCACTGCGACAGCTGGAACGCTCGCTCCGAATTTTGCTTGAACCTGGACAGGTGGGGACAAACAGATGCCGTCATTACTCATGTCGAATTAACCCTACGGCAGAGCTCAGTCACTCGCTTAAGGTTAGGCGATAAGTGCCTACCGATGAGTGTACCGACGTCGGCACAAGCGGTACACTCATCTCTCATCACTCATTTCTCTCGGTTTAGGCGAATCCCTCTCAAACAGAAATATGTAGAAACTGCTCTCTATTAGTAGTTATTTGTGAGGGAGAAATAAAGAGTTAGTAGTATTTTTATTATTATAAAAAATTACAAATCGATTTCAACTCAAGTAGGAATCTTTAAAAAAGAAAAATGACAACACTGACAGCGACGATAGAAGGGGCATTCGGGGAATTGCATTGACGAAGTTATAGGAAAGAGAAAAAATATTAATTTTGATAATATCGCTGCCTTTACATAATACCGCTGTATTGCAGAATACTATGATTTTGAACTAAGCATATAGCAACGAGCAGAGCATCTCAAACTGTGCGATTAAATTGTTTTTTGACGTAGGAAGTTGTGTTTACTTTAGATTCAGTTTCGCTACCTCTGCTCGTCGCTGTATAATTAGCGCATAGTCGTAGTAGCATTTTGTAATACTGCGTTATTGTATAAAGGCTGCAACATGTACTCATGAGACGTGAAGGATGTTTCTATGTGATGCGAAAGATTTTTTTATGATACCAAGTGACAGGACGAACAAGTCGTGCGCCTGGTGTTAAGCGACACGCCTGTCCATAACAATTGTAATTCTACTCAGAATTTTTAATCACAAAGATTCGAGAGGCACTGCATCCGTCACCCTGAGACATAAGTTGACAAGTGCCACGTGCCTATAATTTCACCAGCACCCGAACCCTTCAAAACCAGAACGCGATAATGTTCACATTACTGCTTAACGGCAGAAATATGTAAGGTGGCAATACTTATCTGGACGTACCCTTTCACAAGGAGCTTAACTGCCAGTAATAACTATATACTAAGTGTGTTATGAACTATTGTTTTATTTCAGAAGTGAACATCAAGCTGTATTATTTTAAACTTTAATTGTGATGACACGGTAATCACAAAATCAAAAATATATAATATCATCATCAAGCGAATGCGCTCTGAACATTTACGCTCGCTTTCATACATACCAACGTAAACTTTGCTGGGATACAACAACGTACATGGAATGCGCAGACTGGACCACATGCTACCAGAAATTCTGAACGATCCCTGGTAGATCGTGCTAAGTGACATTGAGAGTGATGTCAAGAAACGTAAAACTATTTTAAAGAGACACTATCTTGGTTTGTAGTATATGTCTACATTTAAATAAGTGTTATAGATATTATTATCTATAACAACTATTGAATGTAGACATAATAGTCTAGAATTAATTAATATTATAGGGAATTGTAAATTAATTTAAGTGTCGAGCTTGTTAGCTCATCGCTAGGTGGTTAAACCACAAAGTTTTTACCCAGCGATAAAGAAGCGTCGTTTTTTTGGAAAATTTATTCTTGAAACTGAATAAATAAAAAAATAAAAAAATATATCGTGGCGTGCGTGCCCTAACACCTGGCCTGCAATAGTATAGTGTAAACTATCTACACGATAGGTAGGATAGATGGTGTGGTGTTACCTGGACAACTCGTAGATATCGACGTCGTAGTCTGTCTCGGCGTGCTTGAGCCACATGCGGAACTCGTTGACCCAGTTGAGCACGGTGGACAGCGGACACACGACCAGCACGCGGTTCACGCCCGTCAGGTCGCTGTTTGTCAGCAGCGTGTGCGTCAGGGACACCACCTGAGATGCGTCATTAAATTAAACTTCCACGTCTCACTTTATTTTCTTAGAAGAAATCAACGTGCCTCCAGTGAATCAGTGACTTACATATGCAAAAATTTACAGAAAACTAGTTAGAAGTTTTATATTTTGTTTTAGGGCTATTGAGCACATTTGAAGAGCTCTTATAGTAAAATAAATAAATAATAAATAAATAACGCACACACTCAACATAGCCCCGCACTAGAGAAACCCTGTGTCGCGGGTACCATGGACACACACATAGACAACCACAAATTACACCCAAACTCACGAGACAAATAAATGTAAGCCATACAAACATTTCTCCCGGCCCGGGAATCGAACCTGGGACCTCTGCGTGGCAATCCGGCATGGTAACCGTTCGGCCACGGAGGCAGTTAATAGAAGAGTCTATATTACTTCAGCTTGAATTCAAATTTTTCCCGTACTAATACGGTTCATTTTGCCTAAGTCGAGTGGCAGGGACACTGGCCTTTATTTCAGAATTTATTTTTTTGCACACGCAATTAAAGCTATTTGAAAAATGTATGTCGTATAGAATACGTGTTCTATTTAGTTCAGATGACAAAAAAAATCTGTAGGTATATGTAGGGTACCTATTCAATACATCGGTTTCCTTGTAAAGTTTCGAGGAAGTTTGTTTTTTTCTAACGGGAAAACTTTTAGGAATCGTGTTTTCACACTGTATGCGACTCAGTGTATGTCCTCAATTATACTATATAGTTTTTCCAAAATGATTGATCCAACACTTTCGCTGTTAGGTGGAATCAACCAAAGTCATTTCAGATTGTATCAACTCATAATGGTATTAACTTTTCGTTAACCTGACCACAAAGGCAAAGTTCTTGCAGGGAAATAAAATGATATTGATAACCCAGAAACAAAAATTGGCAGAAAAGATGCCATTGCCTCAAGATAGCTCTCACCGTAAACCCGAGCTAATCTAAACTACGTTATATAAAAACAATAAACATACCTGCAAAGTCTTTCCCAAACCCATGCAATGGGCGAGAATGCAACCGGAGCCTTTGTCCTTCTTAATTCTTTTCACGCTCTCGAAGCACGCGTCCCACATGAACTTAATTCCGTTCGCCTGAAAACAAAATATATCGTAAAATAACTAAAATCCGACTGCTCAAGTATAGTCAACATCACTATCGTGTCAAACCAAAACACTACGAAATAGCTTTTTAGTTAAGTTATAATGGCTGCATGGAATTTCTTAATATCTAATGTAGGAAGTAAGTTAAATATATCTTATTGTGTTATTAACCTCAAAAATTACAAGAAGCCGAAACATCTTTTTGCAGTTTTTCTCAAAATGCTGTTTTAGATTGAACAGTGTTTTGGTTTGACACGGCAGAACAGTACCATAACACACGTATCATATCAAGCATGTCGTCACCTTTACCATAGTATAATAAGAGTCCTGTACGGACAGCATTAGCATAATCTCGCGGTGCACTCAAGTTGACCAGCGCGGGTCGTCGCGCTTATCATCATAGAATTATAGCGTTCGCTCGGTGTTTCAAAAAGGACATCAAATAACAAACGTGTCTATTGTGTTTATAGTTGTTCGAATAACAGTGTCAAAAATCAGACTCACTGTACTAAAAATGTGCGTCATTTCGTTTCTATTTCATAATCATACTCTGATATTATATAAACATCAATGTGTAGGTACTGTTTTTGACGAAGATTATTTCAATATACCACGAGAATACTGTAAATGAATGAATACCTACCTTATTTTTTTACAAATTACGTTAACTAAAATAATAATGTGACAACCCTACGCTCCGAGTGACGACGTGTAATCATTGACGCGTCGAACACGCGGAAGCACTACTTGTTTTATTATACTATGCCTTACTACGAACGGACGTTGCTTATAATTTTAAGGAAAAAAAAATATATAGCTCGGTTCAGAATTTCAAATTCTGGAAGAGGCAGACATCGACGTACATACATATCTCGAACAGACGTAACTTATAATTTTGACGAAAAAAAACAGCTCTTTTAGAATTGAAATGTCCTATGTTGTAATGTAAGTAATCGAATGTGGATAGAAACGCTGGGAGAGGTAGACCTCGACAGACTTATCTCAATCAAGCTGGGGTGTCCTTAAAAAAGGTCAAATTAAAAGTACCAACAAAAACGGGCCGATATGAAGACTAGAGTTGCAAAACTATAATGAATTCATTGCGAATATTCGGTTACTATTCGGTATTCGGCTTATTCATCCTTTTTTTTGGTATTTGACCGAATACCTAAAAACAGACTAAATATTTGTTGTGAACCGAGTTTTGTTCAAATTTAATGATATTATTACAAAATGTTTAATGCCTATATCTAGACGACTCGATTTGCCTTTCTATTGAATCGATTCGCTTGATAATCACATTGAAATAAATCAATACAAAAAATCGTTATATCGTATGCACTTGAATCAATTTTCATAAAATTCGAATCGTAATGTGCGTTCTTAGTACTGACAATCCACACGATTGCAACTTTTGCCTATTTTTCGTAAAAAAAAAAATTGTTGCCTCTTTTTCGTACAAAAAAAATTGTTGCCTCTTTTTCGTACAAAAAAA